ATAAATGAATTATATGACAAGAAAGGTATGTGAATTAGTGGTCCAGTACCAGAAGTATCGTTAGTCTAACAATTATTGGTTTTGATTGGTAATTATCCAGTACCGGTACCGTCATAAATGAATAATTCTGTTACCTATTTACAGTTAACAAACGATCTGTTTAGTCAAGACTGTATTCTGGGGGTTAACCCCTAGAGTACAGCTGAGTTCATGACATACTGCAAGTACATGCTGTAAATGCTGCCCACAAAGTGTTTTAATTATATTATGTAGTCTGCTGATGCTATTGTGCCGCAGTGCGGCCATCCAAAAGATAATAGGTAAAATTAACTTGATAAATTGGTAAAACTGTTCTAAACTTTTTCATTCCTAGCTGTTTTCATGAAGGATCCTGCTAGTTGTATTTCGGGTTCGGTTGGCAGATTTAATAAATAAATGCTTCATTGGTGGCGTTAACTTACGGTAGCGATTTGCACATGAAAATTCAACGAATATATGCAAATTTTGAAAATTTAAGAAAAGCACCTTCAACATGCGTATTGCCTGTGGCGTATCTCTTTGTGTATTAACCAACCGCATTTACCGGTATTACCGATTAAAGCACGTTGTTCGCAGTTGGCACATTCGGGCGGAGGCCTTTTGAAAGTGCGGCGATTGTCTTTTTAACACGTCCTCTCATTCTTTATACTGCGGCACTTTGTGCAGACGGCAAAATAAAATCACATGGAGTTTTGCCGGTACGAAAACTTCTAAAGGTCAATATGTGACCTTTGAAGTTTTTATGCCGGCGATTACATACGCACTTCGCGAATGGTCAGTGCTGTTAAATCTATACATGTGAAACTGACCGTATGCTGGCAACGCTTCCAGCAACTATAGTTGACCAAATACTCCGAATCTGCTTCTTATATGTGATGCCACACTTTATGTGGCTGCCAGGTTTTATCGATTGCCAGTTGCCAGAGTCTCCAGGTTTTATCGCTTGCCATGCCATTGGCAGTGCCAATGGCAGGTGCCACTGCCACGTTTTACTCCCTGCCCTCCACAGCTGAAGAAACTGGCCAAGCAAATTTTACGCAGTTCTCAGAACAGCGAAATGTGCTGCTGCAGCGCTGCTCTGTAAAAGATTAACTACGGTACATTGTACTACTACAATTAATACGATAACTGTAAACATCATATAATGGTACCGGCAACCATGTAAATATAAAATAATATTATTTTTATCGTATATTCCTGCTACGCTTCGTTCATACAGTGTCCGCCAAAAGCGAGTGCACTTTTCTAGTTTTAGTTTTGTCGAAGGACTGGCGCAGACTCGACGCAGTCTCAGAATTCCACAAAGAGCCACAAAAACCGGTCTGAAGCAAGTTGATCTCGGACCTTCCGCTGTTTGTCATGAGACCTTTGCTGAGACTCCGCAGTTATTAAAGCGCTGAATTGCAGCTGACGGTACGCAGTTTCTTGAGAGCAAGCGTGGTGAAAATGAGATGAACATTTAATGGAAGCTCTCCAAAAAACATTGAAAGGAAGCTCTCCAAAAGGGCTGATAGAAGGCCCGTTAGCGGGAAAGAATTCTGCTGAGTACTCCAAAAAGGCTGAGTTACTGGAATCGGTTGCTCATAGCCTGCTGAAAAAGTAGCGTTCTGACTTATCTTCACAGACTTATCTGCGCAAGTTGGGATGAAATCCCCGCCAATTCGTGTCTGCTAAGGGAGAACGATGAGCTCCCTTTTCAGTACTATACGAGACCATTTCACTGCAGTGCTGTCATCGTTTCTTTCCTTAATTCCCTTGCTTCTTTTTACAAAGGGCATTCCGAAGGTAAACTTTCCTCAGTTGCCTCAATTTCCCTACTTTGTCTCCTCTAGCAATATAAATTGCTCAAGAAAATGCCCTTCTCAAAACACTTTCTCAGAAAATTAGGAACCTGTTTGAACTAGGTTTCACAAATAATCGAAAGCAGCCCAATCAGTATCCGGACGGCAAAAAACACAAAACTTTCCGCCATTCCTTCGAACCCACACGATGCCGACCCGCCACGACGTGGAGCTAGAGTTTACTATTTAGCTAAATTGTCTTTGTTTTCCTATGTTTTCTTATGTATATACAGTATTCAATGTTTTCTCATGTTCTTTGTCGTCGCATTCGTGGAGGTATTGCGGTCGACATTCGGTACAACGAATTGTCCTTGTCCGTGCAGTACAAACTTTATCGAAACCTACGGTGTGCTTAGTTGATCATAAAAGGAACATAATACAACAATACTTCCGGTTCACACTTTAAGTCGTTTACGCCCAGCTGTTTTTGTTTATTATTCCAGTTCTTCATGGAACCTTCTGATTTTTGTTTCACTGGTTTACGTAAAGAACGATTCTGCTAAAAGACACCCGTCACTGGTGTATTACGTCAAACGGCGAGGAGGCAAAATAGGGAAATTTACTTTCGGTATGCCCTTCGTAGAGAGAAACATGTGTTTCAGCCTTTATTGTCCTATTGGTTTGTACAGTACAAGATCGTCAATACATGTAGTTCACAGTTTCACGAAAACGATCAAAGCAAATTTTAACGCAACGTAATTATCAACAAGGCAACATTTTGGCACCGCAAAAATAAAGCCAAGCCGACCTGCATATCACGAAGCGGTCTAAAAAACAACGGCGTAGGAATAAAATGGATTAAGGAATGAACCGATGACAGAATTGAAGTGCCACGGAGTCGTATAGTGCTGAAGAGCGAGCTCATCGTTCTTCGTCTGCAGACACGGATTATCGAGAATTTCGTCTCCACTTGCATGGACAAGTTTGCGAAAGCTGAGTCAGAACGCAGTTTTACGGTATGTTATTGAGTAGCCGCTTCCAGTAACACAACCGTTTTGGAGTGTTCAGCAGAATTCTTTCCCGATAACGGGCCTCGTGTCAGTACTGTTAGAGAGCTTCCATTAAATGTCGCTCTCATCGTTTGCACGCATGCTCTCCAGAAACTGCATACTATCAGCAGTAATTCAACGACGCGTAACAGCAAAGTTTCAGGAAACGTCTCGTGGCAAACAGCGGAAGATCCAACAAGGTAGACTTGTTTTCGAGCCTTTCTTGCCCCTTTTTATGGAATTCGGGACAGCATCGCGTCTGCGTACTACCACGACCACCAAACGGACTCCAGTCATTCCCCCGGGCTCCAGCCACCCAAACGGACTCCAACAACGACAACCAACCAGACGACGTGCAGCAGGCCACCAGTGAGCTGATACTACTGACTATTGACCCACCACTCCAGCCGTCTGCTCCAACATGGCCCTCCGCTTCGCAGTTTTCACGTTTTTTCCTGTAACGTCTTTCCAGTTTCTGCCATTGCTTAATCGATTTGACAGTGCATCCCTTAGGTCCACATCTATATAAATACTCTACCGTGCATGCGCATCTCTTACAGTCAGTTTACATTAGCTATTTGTCTCTTTTTTAATGGCTTTCTCTCGCTTAGAAACAGTTAACCCGTCCGGTAAATAATTGTGGCTTCTTATTCGCCAGTTCTTTTCTTAGCTACTTGCGTTTCTTCCCACAATTTGCGTATATGCTCCTACATTCAATATATTCAGGCGAATCAGGCCAAACCACTCCCCAGTTCTTCGGACATAAAAGCCGCAATGGCACTATTATAAATTTTGATTCGCAGCAAACATTTTCCTTCGAATGACATGTACTCATTCATTCATCACTATGCCTTTTTAAAACAGTTGGGTTTTCTGGATGTCCGCGCAAAATATGAGTGTGATGTTTCTGTTGCAGGTTCAAACCGCAGGCGTGCAACTGCAACGTGCAAACTGGGATCGTTACTGTATTTCCGAATTGTGTGTGTGCATAACAGCTATGGCTGTGGATAAGACCATTGTGGATAAGACCATCAGACAGTCGTCTTATTCATCACTTCACAGTTATCCTCGTTGCGCGAAAACTCAGTCTGGTTAAGGTTAACGGTCGTTGCGCCGACAGGCATCTCAGCTGCACAATCAATTGGCACGAAAACGTCTCCGGGCAGAAACAAGCCGGCACCCCACGATATCTTGAATTTGAATACAATGTGAAAGTTATTCCACTCGCGCAATAGCGCGGAATTCTTCCACCAGCGTCGGAACCCGGCGAACTGGCAGCCGCAGTGCAGGTGTCGCAAGTAACTGCGATAGCGTTCTGAGAACACCGGATTCTTCTCCCCGATCTGCTGGTAATAGATGCCGTACTCTAAGCTCAGCACACGCAGCTCCGGCAGGTCACTGAAGGCATCCGCCTCCCACGCGCGAATCGTCGTCTTAGCGAAGGTGATATCGCGCAGTTGCAAGGAAAGCCTCCGTCGCCGGATCCCTCGTCCACACCGGGTAGCATCGTTGCGCGCTGCTGTCGTTCTTGCATTCGGGATGCCACTTTTCGCCAACTGCAACGACCCGATTTGATTAGACGACCAACAAATTCTGCTCGGCAGTGCAATTACAGTTCCTTCAGAAATTTTTAGCGCAGAGGTGAACACAATGGGTGTGGCTTATACACAGCCTTACAGAAATCGAAGCTTGTAAGGCGCTGTGCGGTCACAACTGATTCGATCCATTCAGTTTTAAAACCAGTAAGCAGCGGTAGTAGAGCGTGCACACAACCACCCTCACTACAGTTAGTATGCGCTAAAATGTCCAATGGGCTGCGCAATTCGCTTTCCAAAGTTTTTGAAGTGATTTGAACGGTAGAGGAAGATTTGCTTAGTAGCGGCCGCGAATTGTAACCGTCTGCGATGAAGCGTCCTACCTATCTACCAAATATACTCGTACCATTTTTGTATTTTACTTATTAGTGATTATTAATAGAAGTTAGCGATTATATCGCTAACTTAGGTTAACGCTGTTGAGAGAAACGCTGGCCTATAGAAAGTTCCCTAAATATCCGCAAAGCCATTCCCAATGCAAGTGATTGGCTGACCTCTTGCCAGACGCCATCTTGCCTTTGTTCATCACGCTGTTGTGCATATATCTCTCTTTATAGCAGAGTTGCACTTTGAAGTCATTTTGTTGCGTCTGATAATTGTGGTTTCTTTTCTTGTTGCTGAAGAATTTGTACGGTAAATTTCTTGTCTGTTTTTTCCACCTGCAATATTTGTGAGTGACCTTTGGTGTGTTTTCTTTCTGAAGACTCTGTGCGTGAGAATGCCGCCAAAGCGAGCGGCGCGAAGGGCTGCGGTGCCACGTACCAAGCGAGTAACGCGTTCCAGAAATGCGGGTAATCCGGCGGAGATTGTGGAGGCTCCTATGGCAGTTCAGCCTGCAGCACGTAGCAGCCCAGTTCAGAAGTCGCCTGCATCATCGGTGCCCTCGGCAGGGAGTGTTGAAGACGAGATTGCAGCGGCCCAGCGAAACCTTAAAGAACTGATCGCCCGTAGAGATGCGGTGACCCGCTCGGAGCCAGATGTGGTGATGTTACCTCCCGCTACCGTTGCTCAGATATCGCCGCAGATTGACGCAAATCTGTTGATGCAATTGATGTTGAATCAACAGAACCAGCTGATGCAGTTAACCCAGAAGGTTATGGAGCCAGAACTGTCTGGATCAGCGAATGCTGTTAGAGCACAGGCCAAGAAACCTCCGCCATTGCCAGCCAGCTTCCCGTTTGTGAATGATAAGTGCCTTGAAGAGTTGTATGACCTGACGGTCAATGTGGATCTCGACAAACTGTTGCGGGCAAACAGTATCATGTCTCCCATTCAAGGAGAAGCAAAGATTGAGATCAAGGATGGAAGTTACGTGTTATCCGATTCAAAGCCTCGAAAGGTCACCATCACGTCGCTGAACCAATGAAACGAAGCGTTTATCGTGTTTCGACGTGTGCGCTCTTTCTATTATCCTGGACTACGAGACCCGCTGGATGCTTATCAGACCATTGTAAATGAGCTGGCTGGTGTCTATTCTACAGTCGTTTGGCTTGAGTACGACAAGACTTTTCGGGCCAACCGGATCCGTGATACCACAAACCATGACGAATGGAGCAGATTAGACCGCAGCTTGCTCGACCGTTGTGCTGCCCGTCTGCCTAATCGTGCCCATCTTCCTCTATGCCACACCTGCCCACTGGCGGATCATACTGTGCAAGAGTGCCCGAAGACTCTTCAGTTACCTGCACTCGGTCACGCCGACACGGCGACTGCGGGTCGGCCCTTTCGACACATCCCGCCAGACGTGTGCAGGAACTGGAGTTACGGGAATTGCACAAAAGGAGCCAGCTGCCGTTTCAAGCATCGGTGCGGGGAGTGCCGGGCTACCGATCACACTTCTTTCGAGCATTGTGGACAACGCAACGCAAATGCCGGCGCGAGCACTGTGTCCGGGACCGGATCCGCGCATAACAACACCAGTCAACGTCGATAGATTGGCGGAGCTATTGGTAGAGTATCAAGATACTGATGCTATGCACTTCCTTTTGCAGGGTTTCACGTACGGCTTTAGCATTGGTTACGAAGGCCCGCAGATCCGGCGGTTTACCTCTAATGCACAATCGTCTTTGGCAAACCCATCCGTCATTTCATCCATGATAGAAAAAGAATTAGCCGCGCACCATTGTCTCGGTCCGTTCACTGAGCCGCCGCATCCGGATTTTGTAACCAATGCTCTCGGCTTGCGACCAAAAAAGCCCATTGGCCATCGTATCATTATGGATTTATCCCAGCCTTTTGGATTCAGCGTGAACGACTTTATACCGAAAGATAAGTATTCTATGGCTTATATAGGAATTGATGACCCAGTTCAGTTAATAATTCAGACAGGAAGAGGCGCCTTGATGGCTAAAATTGATATTGATAGCGCTTTTCGTAATTTGCCCGTTAGACCAGACGAGTGGCATCTGTTAGGATATTTCTGGGAAAGTCATTATTATTTCGATACAGTGGTGTCATTCGGTTTAAGGTCAGGTCCGCGTTTGTTTGACATTTTCGCTACAGCATTAGAGTATATTTTTCGTAAGTGTACGGGCAATGATTCGTTTTTGCATTATTTGGATGACTTTTTTAAAGTGGATAAGCCAGGAAGTGATAGCTGTAGGAGGGGTGTCATGCAGTGTGTTTCTGTTTGCAATTACCTTGGCGTTCCGGTAAATACAAAAAAGTTAGTTTGGCCGGACACAAAAATTGAATTTCTGGGTATAGTTTTAGACAGCGTTAACTTTACCTTGTCGGTATCAAACAGCCGTATGGATGAACTGAGTTTATTACTGCAGTCATTTGCAGATCGGAAGCAGTGTCAGAAAAGGGACTTGTTGAGTTTGGTTGGTTGTTTGTCATTTGTTACGAAATGCATCCCTGCAAGTCGAATATTTCTCAGACGCATGATTGAACTGAGCTGTACTGCAGTAAAGCTTCATCACACGATACATTTGTCAACTGAGTTTCGGCGAGACGTTTACTGGTGGCAAGAGTTCCTGCCTTTATGGAATGGTTCGGCTAGTTTTCTCACACCGGTGTGGCAAGAAGCAGAATCTTTGCATTTATATACTGATGCGGCGGGTTCTATCGGTTATGCAGGCGTTTTTGGAAGTGAGTGGTTTCAGGGTGTTTGGCCAAGGTGGTTGTTAACGTTACGAGTTTCGATAACGTTTCTTGAGCTTTACCCAATTTACGTAGCATGCGTTGTATGGGAAAAACGATTGAGTACGCGAAGAATCGTTGTGCATAGCGACAATACGGGTACTGTTGAGGTATGGTCGCGTGGTAAATGTAGAAACACGGCTGTGATGGAGTTGGTGCGCCGCATTCATTTCGTTACGTCGCATTTTAATTTTGCTATTAAGATAGTGCACATTCCCGGAGTAAAAAATGAACTAGCTGGTGCGCTTTCTCGTTTTCAGCAGCACCGATTCAGACAGTTGCTTCCAACTGCTCAGCCGGAAGGACTCAAGTTACCGGACCTGCTAAGCCGCTTCCAACCGCTCCTGCAGGGGCTCAATCCAAGTCCGTTTTCACTCCCGATGACCTTTTCGCAGCCGGAATGGCTCCTTCTACCAGACGAGCTTATGCAACCGGAGAGCGCAGCTTTACCTGCTACTGCCAATCCATGAATCGCTCGCCGTGGCCGGCTTCGTCAGATTTAGTGGAGGATTACGTGACGCATCTATTTAACACTGGCATCGCCTCCTCCACCTTATCAGTGTATCTGTCCGCTATTGCACGTTACCATGTGATGCACAACTGGCCGGATCCCACGCAGTCAGCTCGTTTGAAAGCGATTCTTGAAGGTGCTCGCAGAATGAACGGAGTGCACCAAGATCAACGGCTACCCATAACGCCAGATCTCCTACGGCAGTTACACTCGCGCCTTCATCTTACGTCGAATCAACACATCGACCAACGCATGTTTGGGGCCGCTTTTACGTTAGCCCATCATTTTCTCCTACGTGTAAGCGAATACACGAGCATTTCGCCAGCCAGATTTAATCCGGACGCCACGTTGTGTTTGGACGATGTGCATTATGATCGCACCATGCTTCGTTGCACTATCAAGCAGTCGAAAACGGATCAGCGACGGAACGGAGTCACCCTGACGATGCAGCGTGCCGAATCTCCTTTTGTTCATGACGTTTGCACCGGTTATAGTGAAATTCGCCGCCTCCTCTACCCTGCCAATTTTCCTTTTTTCATGCATGCATCCGGACGATTCCTCACTCGCTCCGATGTTACCGAAGCGCTGAAAAAATGTTTGCCGGACAGCTGTGACCGCATGCGTTATTCATCTCACAGTTTTCGCATTGGCGGCGCGACTGCGGCAGCAGCGGACGGTCAACCAGTGGATGCCATTTGCAAGAAAGGACGATGGAAATCCGCATCGTTTCAACGCTACATTCGGCCCTTTCCCAATACCTGACTGTTTGGGGCACAACCCATCTCACTGCTCTCTCCCGCCACGGTACGCACGGAACCGCACCGGAAGGAAACGCAGCAAGCATTCGCATTCTCATATACACCCTGGCCACGAATCAGGGTTCCTGGAGCGAGCGCGCACCAGGTGCATTCTGCATACCCCAAATCCGCATTCTTTGCCAGCAAGCATTCCTTCCGGTGGTCGAGCATGTTCTGCAGCTACCTTGAGACCTTGCAGTTGAGCATTGGGTTGGCCAATGTCCCAACACCTCGTTAGCGTTTCTCGATACATTAGCGTTAATAGAAGTTAGCGATTATATCGCTAACTTAGGTTAACGCTGTTGAGAGAAACGCTGGCCTATAGAAAGTTCCCAAAATATCCGCAAAGCCATTCCCAATGCAAGTGATTGGCTGACCTCTTGCCAGACGCCATCTTGCCTTTGTTCATCACGCTGTTGCTGTTGTGCATATATCTCTCTTTATAGCAGAGTTGCGATTTGAAGTCATTTTGTCGCGTCTGATAATTGTGGTTTCTTTTCTTCTTGCTGAAGAATTTGTACGGTAAATTTCTTTTCTGTTTTTTCCACCTGCAATATTTGTGAGTGACCTTTGGTGTGTTTCTTTACCCACCATCCCACCCTTTAGCAACTTGTACATTGATTAAAGGCACAACCCATCTCACTGCTCTCTCCCGCCACGGTACGCACGGAACCGCACCGGAAGGAAACGCAGCAAGCATTCGCATTCTCATATACACCCTGGCCACGAATCAGGGTTCCTGGAGCGAGCGCGCACCAGGTGCATTCTGCATACCCCAAATCCGCATTCTTTGCCAGCAAGCATTCCTTCCGGTGGTCGAGCATGTTCTGCAGCTACCTTGAGACCTTGCAGTTGAGCATTGGGTTGGCCAATGTCCCAACACCTCGTTAGCGTTTCTCGATACATTAGCGTTAATGTACTCGTATTATTAATAAACAACTTGCCCAAGGAGTAGTTTGCATTTCATGTGATCTTTCAATACGTGACCGTATAATAACTTTATATTAAACATAACTGAATTGTTTATACTTCTATAGATTATGCAGCCCCTTACAGCGTTCCTCGTTGAGGGAGTACATCTCCTGTGCAAAGTCGACGGAGGCGGATCCGTTGGGGAAAGGAGCGGCGCAGTTAACGGGCACGAAGACGTCTTCTTTGGTAAATTTGGCATTGGCCCAGGAAGCGTACTGGATCTCGTACACTTCCCCTTCGCCAGCGTTACGCTTTAAGCCGTTGACAGCCCACCGCTGGCGGAACCATCGGTATTGACAGCCGCAGTGCAGTCGCGACAGGTAATCCCGCACGCGTCCCTAATAACAGTCACTTTCTCGCCAACCGCTCTCCAGCGTCAACAACCGCAACACGGGAAGGTCCGTGAAAGTGCCAGTTTCCAATGATCGCAGCGTTGAATTGACGAACTGGATGAGTCGGAGCTTGGCGGAGTGCCAGAAATCGTCGCGTCGCACGTCCAAATCAAAGCAGTCGGCCGCTGTGAACTCCAGCAAATTCGGGAAACGCAGTTTGGACAGTTTGCTGGTGGCGCGCGGAGAACGACAATAGCTTAGTCGGAATGCTACCGTGAGTTCGCGCACCGGCGAGAGGTTGTCAAAGGTCACCGCTTCCCCGTCGAAGGGGTCCACACGGACCGCCTTGAGGGGCGGCTTGGATAGAGACAGGGCCAACTGATGCACTTCGCGTGAAATTACTTGTTTGTCGCATTTCAAGAGCAGGCCTTGTTGCTCGCTGCAGTTGTGCACGGAGAACCCCGGCGGGCGGCAGTTGGCCGTGAACTGCCGCATGCACTGGTCGCGCGTCATCAGCTGTGTCACGAAGGGCGGGAAGGCTACAAACACTGAACCAGCCGGTTGTCTGCCCTCATCTGTGTCGACGATCACTTCGCCAAGTGCACCGGTTACAGCGCTAACTCTTAACTGTCTAGTTTATGCGAGTTCTTCGCAGTTGGCGAAAAGTGGCATCCCGAATGCAAGAACGACAGCGGCGCGCAACGAAGCTACCCGGTGTGGACGAGTGATCCGGCGACGGAGGAAGTGTGCCGCGTCGTGACCAAGATGAAATGCTGGGAGAACGTCAATCTGAATTACGGCCACTGCGACAATGTCACGCGAGACGAGGAAGCGGCCTTCGGAGTCTGCTTTACGCCCGATGGAATTGTGCAGGAGCTGAGACGAAAAGCGCATGCCCTAGCGCGGCTGCTGCCACGACCCATAGAACTCACTTTGACCGGGAACCAGACGGCTGTGGTCACCGCGGCGGACCTGGATCCCGTACGCCACTTGATCACGTCCTTCAGTATAGTGTCTTGTGTCAACAATCGCAGCACCAACAAAATCCACAAATACGACCTCTTCAACGCGCTGCAAATGTGGGTGGAACACTGCGACGATCTGGACGTCCGCCGGGAGGACTTCCAGCGTTCCTTGCAACTGCGCGATATCTCCTTTGTAAAGACGACGATTCGCGCGTTGGAGGCGGATGCCTTCAGTGACCTGCCGGACCTGCGCGTGCTGAGCTTAGAGTACGGCATCTATCACAAGGAAGTCGGGGTGGAGAACCCGGTGTTCTCGGAACGATATCGCAGTTACTTGAGACGCCTTCACTGCGGCTGCGAGTTCGCCGGATTCCGTCACTGGTGGAGGAATTCCGCGCTGCTGCGCGAGGGATGGGAGGACTTCAACATTGTATTCAAATTCAAGATATCCTGGATAGCGGGCTTGTTCCTGCCCGGGGACGTATACGTGCCAATTGATTGTGCGGTGGATATGCCTACGGGCGCAGCGGCTGTTGACCTGAACCAGACTGAGTTCTCGCGCAACGAGGATAATTGTGAGCTGATGGGCAGTACAACCGTTCGAAACGGCGGCTGATGGACAACACGACTGGCGGTTGCAGAAAGTCGATGGCTTGATTCACAGCTGTAGCCGTAGGGAACAATTCAGCAGTTCACTGACGAACCCATTTCGCATGTTGGGGCAGTACTTTGTCATTTGGGATGTATGGCTTCTGGCTTCTCTTGAATTTTCTCTCCTTTTTTATTGAGTTTTTTCCGTCTTCATAGCAACGATCTTCTCTTTTGTAACAAAAAGCCTGCGCCAAAAGACACTAATTAAAAAGTTCGAATTTACACATTGAAAAAACAATTTTGTCCTAACTAAGCTTCTTTCTTACCTAGCTACAGATATGCGTTCTGAGTCTTCTGACTGAACAGAAGCTAGTTAACGGTTAAGAGTCAACTGTGAAGAGACAGGACTGTAAAGCGAAAACATAAGAAAACAAAATCAAAGAGCTGCCTGTGTAATCGCACCCGGACAATTGGGAGTGTGACATTTCGCCGCACTCAAACTCGACGCGCGACTTTTCGCCGCGCAGACATTTCGCCGCCGGACATTCGGACGCTGGGACACTTCGGTTGGGGACGTTATGCTTTGAGACATTTTACCTTGCGACATTTCGACACAAGACGTCTGGTTGCGGACAGTTCGTCTTGGGACTTTTCGAACGATGCGACTAATCACCGCAAAATAATTCACCGCTCTTAATTCTCACAAATTTTTCAGTTTTTTAGCCTTGTTCTTAGTTTTTCTTAGGTTTTCTTAGTCTTTCTTAGACTTTCTTAGGTCTTCTTATGCTTTCATAAATTTTATTTGGTTTTATAGGTTTCTTAGGTCTCTTAGATTTTTTAGGTTTCTTAGGTTTTCTTAGGTTTTCTGATTTTTTCTTAGGTCTTCTTTAATTTTCTTAAATTTCGTAGATTTTTTAAGTTTCTAAGGTTTCTTAAGTTTCTTGGGATTCTTAGGTTGTTCGTTTGGTTTTGTTTTTCAGTTTTCCATTTCCTGACTCTTTTAGTTATCTTAGTAAATTGTTTATCTGATAGTCGCTTCGTCGAGATATCCTTGCGGCGAAATTGCTTTGCTTCGAAACGGCTATGCGACGAAAAGTCTCGCGGCGTAAGGTCCTACCGACGAAATGTCCTGCGACGAAACGTCGCGCGGCGAGATGGCCTTGCGGTGAAATGTCTGCGACCAAACGTCCCGCGACTAGTTGTCCGCGGCGAAATGTCGCGGTGCCCTGTGTAATTCATGGAGAATGACTGTGTCCTTATTTTTTCAATAGAAAACGAAGAGCAGTTTTGTCAAACCAAAGTCGAACCTGTAGCTACGTACGAAGTGCGCAAGGGTTTACGAATACGAGCGAAGCCGTGGAACACATCGTGTTTTGCATTTTCCCGGAATGCTTATTTGCATAGCTTGGCTATCATAAAATAATGCTCGAGGGTTAAAAAGTGCTCCTTTGGTCAAACCGAATAATACGTCATGAATAATACGTGTAAAAACTTCATGACCATATGCATTTACGTGCAAAATTTAAAAGAGATCGGTCCATAATGGGACTTTTGGTACACCTGAATGCATTTAAACTTTTTGGAATTTTCTTACAGCCATAACTCCCGAACCGGATGTTGCGCGCACAAACGGTTTTCACGCCAGTGCATGCTAGTCGTCTAGCTACAGAAGAACACAAAACAAAACAAAAATCTGTTAGAGACTGCGAGACACTGAAAGTTTTCGTGCATGTACACGAATTTGTTACCATGTAACGGGCTACTTCCCTTAAACATCGCTATTATTTTGTAATACGTGTTTGACGACACGACACCGACGGGTTAGCTCGGCCGATTGGTGGACGAGTCGTCCACCATTCTGGCTTATTTCCGCAGGAAGGTGGATGCTGTCCGGTAGACAGGCGGACGACTCATCTATCACTCTGCCGAAGTTCGGCAGGCAGCTGGATGTTGTTTCAATGAACGTCCACTATGTACTAACCCACCTTCCTGTCGGTTAGACGCATTAGCTCAGCGGCACATGCAGCAGAAATTCATAAACCGTTTCTTACAGACTTAAAATCACTGTTTTCTTCTTATCCTGTTGTACGTATAGCGATCCTGGGAATGCTAATGAAAGCGATTCGACAGAGGAACTTTTGAAGTTAGCCGGTTGTAAAGGTTTTGAGGGGAAGCGCGTTTAGGTTCGTTCTTCGAACAGCCATTCATTAGTGTCACTGATCTGCTACGTGTTAAAACCGCTCGATAATGCTAAAGGCGATATTGATGTAAATGATTTGGTTTTATGTACCTGGTAATTCAAATTTTAAGGACGGCTTAGTATCTGGTTGTAGCCGCGTGATTTAGGAATCGTAATAAATGATTATCTCACTTTGTATGAAGAAGGAAAGGAAAGCTGGTGGCAAACAGCGAACGTTCAAAGTAAACCTGTTTTGGAGCGGTTTTCGCTGCTCTTTGTGGTAATCTGGGACTACATCGAGTCGGCATCGCTGTTTGAATATAACCGACAAACCGCCTACATAAAGTTATAAACCACCGCACAACGACAAACCCATGCAAGCTGCCGGCACAAAAAGTCTGATTAGCTGCCATGGGTTTTATCGCAGCAGAATCAGTAGATCAGCTACATAATTCGTAGTTTCACGAGCCCTCTAAAGTAATTTATTTTAAAAGAACTGCATCAATCTTTTCTAATCAAATTTACCACCAATATTTCTAAAAAGGCCGTGGTCTGTGACTGTCTGTCCCTGCTGCAAGTGTTACGATCGTGTGCCAACATGTTGATGTTGCAGACGAACCCAGCAAACAGGTTGTTAAGCGTTTCGCCTCAGTTCGCAACAGAAAGCATTATCTGTGTTGGCGGCGTGCTTGCTTATAGCCAGTATTATAAATTAATACTATTTAATGATCATCTTAGTACCGGACTATTAGTTAATTGATCGACTATTACAGCGTTAATTATTTCGTAGATGTACTGTGCCATGTCGGCTAACAATGGCAAACGTTTCCAGTTTAATTCAGTGCCAAAAAATGAATTGACACTCGCTTAGTACTTGATTGGCTTAATTTGTTAACCAGTTTGAAATTCGAAGGGTGTTTGGAAATTCCACCGCATGGACTTTGACGATATTCCATATATACGGTGAGGGAAAGGCGGTTGCTGGTGGGATAAAGCACACACTCACACAGTGCTTTGTACACAATCTAGTGGCGGTTTGATTTTCTCGAATCAACGTGGTTTCAGTAGCCGTTGCCTACTGGCAATTCAGTTTATGGGCATTGATTCATCGTCACCAGTGACTCACCACATTCATCGTTTGGAGTGCTTTGCCGGTAATATTATGGTGCTGTGTCATTATTTTTGGAGAGTTTCCATTGAAAGTTGTCTTCATTTTCTTCATACATGCCCTCAAAGAGCTGCCTATCGTCCGCGCAAATGCGGACCTTTTCCCGAGAAGTTGCAGAGAGTCTCATGAAACCTAGGTAAACTTGCGTTGCCGCATCTGCAGCGGCTGCTTTTGGAATTCCCAGGCTGCACGAGTCGGCACTATGCACTTCAAATGAAAATTGATAAAATACCGCTTACAAGGATAAAACGACCAGCCCATAAAAGCGAGTGTTACAGAAATTGTATTCCGTGAGTTGTGTCCATTGCCATTGTTATTCTACAGAGTGCTCTGCATATGTTGGGCGAGTTAGTTTCACTTTCACTGGTGTCTGTAAAAATGTATTATTGGGTTACCATTGCAGTCCTAGGAGTGTCCGTGTTGCATTACACCAATGGTGCAGCGAAACAACCCGCTGCTCAAGCTGTTGCGGCTGAAAAAGTGAAAGTAAGTATGTTCGCTGCGTGCTGACACACCCACTAGCGGCTAGGTATGGTTACGGATATATAATGCATGCCTGCGCACATTACAGTTACGGGGATGGTTATCCTTGCCGAAACGACAGCTACTGTGGCAATGACCCAAACCGTTATCACTGCAACTTGTTCCAGAGCTGTCTTGGTGGATACGGCTGCTGCAGAAAGAAGCCGACGCCAACAACCACAACGACAACGACCACTAGACGACGTGGATCTGGTCGTAACGGTTGACCCAGCAACAGCCCAGCCCGCTTCCACTACGCTCTTCCACTCCGGCCCTTACCTCCCCATGCGCCTTCGGGTTTCATGTACCGCTGTTTAATTCTCGTACCACTACAGCCGCGGCTTGATTGAATGTGCTTCCACTGGTTCCATATTAAACTCTGGCGTGTCCGCGTATGCATATCAGTCGCCAGTGTGAGTACAGCTACCTCCACAGTAACCATAATTCGCAACGGAAAACCAACTGGCGAGTGGCGACGCTCTTGGTTTAGACATTTTTCACTCCACTTAAGTTTTCCCTGTTTTTTTTTCTCGCTCGAAAACGAACCATAAACACACTTGATAATCTTCCGCAACTTCTTGGTCACAATTTCTTTAGTTTAAGTACAGTCTGTACTTACAAATATTACCAATGTATAAAACTACTTCACTTTATTCGGCAAAAGCCCATCAAATAGCGAAAAGTGTAAACGCAGACACACTGTACTACGGTTTAATTTCAACGTTCAAAAACATCAAAATCCCCATCCTCCGTGGATTAAAAGGTGATGCACTCGTAGCGTAGCGTTTCCTTTAATTACAAATTACAATCAAACTGAAGCGCTGCTGAGGAAAGGAAACGCCATTCTCCAGTTATATTCACGCATTTTGCATATAGGTAATTCTATTTGCGTATCCTCGTATCATGTATAGAATCAGTACTATTATTACTAAGTAAGGTATGGTAATTTGTAGTACAACACGCCAGGCTTTAAGATTGTACGAGTATGTCCTGGGTTCGATACCTACTGAGTACTGAGTAAGTTGGGTAACTTTTATCTCGTAAAATGTGAAGCTGAACGAAAAAGTATGAAATTCGCTAATTGCGGCGTCCTTCTATTACTACTGCAGGCAGTAGTGCTTCGTTTTTCAGGTCAGAGAAAACTAACTGCATATAAAAAAGCTATGGGCAACCGTTCAGGCCCTTGACTCCCGGGCATCAGCTGTTCATGCCGTCATGGGTCCACAGTCGCCTTCGTTGCGCGAGAACGCGGTCTGGTTGAGGTCCACACTCGCTGCGCCGGTGGGCATCCCCCGCGCGCAGTCGATGGGCACGTACAGGTCCGGCACCGGGAAGCAGACGCCGCCCCAGGCGGTTTTAAATTTGTAAGTCAGGCAGTAATCGTGCTCGGAGCCGTTGACCAGCGCCGCGCTGCTGCGCCACCGCCGGAACCAGGCGAACTCGCAGCCGCAGTGCACGGCAAACAGGTAGTCGCGCACGGGCTTCGTGAAGACCGTCGTCTCGGGCTGGTGCCACTCCCCGCTCGGGTGGAAGATGCCGTACTCCAAGCTCACCATCCGCAACTGCGGCAGGTCACTGAAGGCGTTCGTTTCCAGCGTGCGGATGATGCTGCGGCGGAAGACGATATCGCGCAGCAGCGGCGAGCGCTGGTAGTCCTCGCGGCGGACGTCAAGGTCCTTGCAGTCGCCCACCCAGTGCGCCAACGTGTTGTAGAGGTCGTATTCGTTCAGCTTGTGTGTGATACGGTCGTCGACGCATTCAACGCTCCAGAACCAGGTGATTAGGTGGCGCATGGGCTCCAGGTCGGGCGCAGTTACGGCGGCGGCCTGGACGCCGGTCAGACCAAGACGGAGGGGTAGCGGCCGTATCCGGGCGATGGCGGGCGCCACTTCCCGCAGTTCCTGAACAATCCCGTCGGGCGTGGCGCAGTAATGATCGTTGTCCGAGTCATTCGTGAAATTGAAGCGTCCATGGTCACACTCGCCGTACGGCAGGCCCAGCGCGTCCCAGCACTTGATCGGACGCCACGCGGCAGACCTCGTCGGTGGGTGGGTCGCTGGACCACACCGGGAAACTGCGCTTGACGCTGTTGTCGTTCTTGCATTCGGGATGCCAATTTTTGGCAACTGCAACCACATCGTGTTATTTAGGAAGTCTAGAGTTTAAGCTGAACATTAAGAACAGTATTCCTTTCCGCCGATACACAACCCCACAAGGCGAGCGAACACTAAACCAGCGATTCATAAGCTCCGTATAATAACGTTGAAAGCGGCTTGTAGTGCAGCGGCTACAGTACTGTGTTGTAATACAATAGAAGCAGCGAGTGCAAACACACTCTACTGCATCAGTCTGCCCACAGTTACCCTATCCCAGTTGTGTAGATATGTGACTGGCTCAAGTCGCAGCATTTCGCTGTTTTCCACTTACAGTGTTCTTCGTTGATAGAGTACATTTCTTGTGCGAAGTCGACGGAGGCGGATCCGTTAAGGAAAGGAGCGGCGCAGTTAACGGGCACGAAGACGTCTTCTTTGGTAAATTTGGCATTGGCCCAAGAAGCGTACTGGATCTCGTACACTTCCCCTTCGCCAGCGTTACGCTTTAAGCCGTTGACAGCCCACCGCTGGCGGAACCATCGGTATTGACAGCCGCAGTGCAGTCGCGACAGGTAATCCCGCACGCGTCCCTAATAACAGTCACTTTCTCGCCAACCGCTCTCCAGCGTCAACAACCGCAACGCGGGAAGGTCCGTGAAAGTGCCAGCTTCCAAGGAATGCAGCGCGAAATTGACGAACTGGATCAGTCGGAGCTTGGCGGAGTGCCAGAGGTCGCCGCGTCGGATGTCCAAATCAAAGCAGTCGGCCGCTGTGAACTCCAGCAAATTCGGGAAACGCAGTTTGGACAGTTTGCTGATGGCGCGCGCAGTAATACAGTGACTGAGCCGGAATGTCACGGTTAATTCCCGCACCGGGGAGAGGTTGTCAAAGGTCACTGCCTCCCCGTCGAAGAGGTCGACGCGGACCGCCTTAAGGGGTGGCTTGGATAAAGCCACGGCCAGTTGCTGTACCTCGCGTGAATTTACTTGTTTGTCGCATTTCAAGAGCAGGCCTTGTTGCTCGCTGCAGTTGTGGACGGAGAACCCCGGCGGGCGGCAGTTGGCCGTGAACTGCCGCATGCACTGGCCGCGCGTCATCAGCTGCGTCGCGAACAGTGGAAATGCGACGAACACTTCGCCAAGTGCGCGAGTCTGTTGGGCAGCTGACACAAATTTCGGTGTAAACGCAGTTTCGATGGACGTGCAGTGGATGAGCAGCGCCAAGTGAATCAATCCCTGGAATAAGTCCAGAAATGCACGGCATTCTCGCAGATGTTGTTTATGAAAGCGGCTGCACACTGCTACGAATCACGAGACAAGCCAATGCGTAAAGTACTTATAATTATAAGTATACAGAAATGAGCTCGAATGCATGTAAAATGCAGCAGCTCAATTGTGGTAACGTGCTAGCGCAATGCCAGTAGCTAGTGTGAGCGGCTGATCAGACGCCTGCCGGCATCTTTGTAATGTGTTCTTCACAGAATTTAGCTCTGGCATAACATGGTTACACGCATCATTTCGCATTAATATTATGGTAGCCTACAGACGGCCGTGATTGCCTGCAGTGATACATTGCGCTGTATCCGGGTGTTAACGCTGGATGCTGAGCGTCCGTTGTCGGAATGGAATGCGGAAAATGTCCAGCACAAACGCGCCAACGGCCGACACGTGTTCATGCGGAAAGAATAACTGTGGAACGCTTTCACTGTGAGGTCGTATTTTTCGGGCGTGATTTTCCGGCAGTCTCTTCTAGCGCGCGTCTACTGGCACAACGACGTCGTTCGGAGATCAGCCGTTGCATAGCCCCTACGTTGTCTTTGATTCAGATGCAAATGTACAATACTCTATTGCTCTTTTCATAACATGGTATCAGTATAAATCCAGGGAATCAGCGGTTCAACGCTAATGTGCAGCATCAACGAACTGGCAGAAGACTGGCATCGGTAGCGGGGTCCATTCGTACCGCTTGGTCTGCGGTAGCAGCGTCTCCGGTTTAGCATAAGACGAAACAAATGTTGTAAGGGGAGTACGCCTAACGGCGGCGGTCTGAGCCTGAAAAGCCTGAAATCTGATCATTATTCCGAAAAATTTTGCTAACGCAGGAATCGATACCTCGTCCACCAGGCTTTAATGCGAACCACTTACAGCCAGACCACGTTGGACATTTAGCGGTATAACGGTCAAGATTTTATACGCCTAAACGCTTAATGACCGCGCGCCGCTCCTCACATACCATACTCCTCACATATCGCAAAATCGCGAGGTCTCTCAATCGACTTTACCTCCTCACGCCTGAGCACACTACGCGCGCGGTTGTATACTATGCAACACATACAACATAAGACTCTTAAGCGGAACCGCACAGCGTACCGAACTCATACCCATCGTCGAGATAACCAGAGAAAGACCATCTGCTACCACGAGAGGGACTCACGCCCTTGTCTCAGCAGCTCTGATGCAGTGCAGTGACTGACACCCTAGGATCGTGTGTACCTGATCGCAGTATTACGATCCGCCCCTTCCGCTCTCATCCGCCAACGGCGCTTCGATTCGGCGATTACGGTAGGCTTACGCATGTGGCTTATGCGAGAGCAGCCTTAGCGCAGGATTATCGGCAGTCATAGATTTTGTCAGTTGTCATGTTTGGACATTTTGGTGTTATGTTTGCGGTTATTTTTCGGATACAACGTTCCTTTTAATCGTCATGTTGTTCTCATTTCCGGTAGATCGTATAGCAGAGGATCTCCCCAGTACAGGAGAGGTTCCTCAGAATGTACTGAATAATTAAAATTAAGTAATTATTGTCTTTCAAGTATGTATTGGTTTGCTATTAATGTTGCACAAACTGTGCGTTTATCTTGAGGCCGCAAATCCGAAGCGGAAATAAATTTGGCCGAATATCATAAGCGAAAATAAGAATGGTGACGATTCCCGGTTTGATGCAACACGAACAGCGCCGATATCACCAACAAATCCAATACTTTGAGAGTTGACGCCGTCAGCTTATCCCATCAGCGGGGATAGGCTGCATGGTTTCTACACTCCGCGGTGTGCCAGAAAGTGTTGGCAGGTCTGATGCATTTTAAATTATGACGCCGTTATCTACTCTACTTTAGAAGTATTAAGTATCGCATACAAATTATGCAGAAGGATGTTCTCACGTCTGTCAACGAGACTTTGCAGTACGTATAACTCGATAACGTATATAATTACAACGTATGTATAACGACATTCAAAATAAAAAAAAAAAACAGAATTCCACGATTTTTTTCAAATTTTTAAAGAAATATTAAAATTTTCTTTTTAAAATTAAAAATTCGTTTTAAAATTTACTAGACATCCTATAATACTGGATCGGTGTAAGAACGATCTTCATGCTTTTGTGCGTTTCCAGGCGAAATCCGAAGGAGACTGGTCCTTAATAAGACTTTTGGTACAACTGAATGCATTTAAGGTTTTCAGAATTTTCTTACAACCTCAACTCGCGAACCGAATGTTGCGCGCAGAACGGTTTTAAATCCAATACATACAAATCATCTGGCTACAAATATCGCAAAACAAAGCGGAAACGAGTATGTAAGTGCGCGAAAGTGAAATTTTCCGTGAATGTGTGTGTACACGAATTTGGTACGAGGTACCGGAACCAATTCAGCCGCTATTTTTCTTCTGAATTACACTTATTACAGCGTCCACATACGCAGTTAATTTGTAATCACGGCACTGTCGGCAGTCAATGAGGTATGTTCGCATGCCGTTTCTCCTGATGATCATACTTAAATCATCAGAATTCATGTCGGTTGTCGAATGCTTTAGATACTGTAGCCGCCCGCACAAGTTGCTCCATTGGCAGATCCGGCCGCTGCCTTCGCCCTGCACACACTGCGCTGAACAGCGAGCAATGTGAGGCCAAATATCCGTATACCTCACTCTGTGGGGCAACTTGTGCGGGCGGCTACAGTACCTAATGGAACGTTCCGCACGGATGCACCATTACAGTTATCAACAAGTACAGTACTGTACCCGATTCCGCTTTCCGCATTAAGCGCTGTGGTCCATGGAGAATATATGCAACCACAGATGCAGATCAAACATAAGTCATAGTTCGGCACAGCGGTTCAATTGTCGATTGCACAATGCGGAAGTACTGTATGCCGACTAGTCTTTACCTGTACACAGTCAACCGTTCATTTTATGCAAAATGTTTTACTGTTTTCGCGAATTCCGATTACTTGTTTACTTAAGGACGTACCTGTATCTTGTTAATTGGTTTTAGTTGTTTGGCTACAATAGTTACTTTGCGAAAGTATACAATGAACGCACTGTGGAGATTCTTATTGAAAACAGAAGGGGTCATGGCAAAGCGCCAACTGTTATGGGCCGCCATCCTGGTCGTCATCGTGCTGGTTATACTGACAACATCAGTTTCAGCCGGCATCGGATTAAGCGGTCTCCTCTCCAACGGTTCGGCCACAGCTCGAAACCCATTTTTAACGACCGAAACTATTCCAGGTACATGGGCCGTTAACACTTTCACTACAGCCGGAGAAGAGCCGCTTCCCACAACCACCCTACCAGCAACATTGGCCGTAGATTCACCCACACCAGCACCCAGTGCCCAGACGACCGTCAATTTCACTGTGATCGCCGCTGCACAGGCATACGTGGAAACGCCGTCTGTCTCGTCGCTGCCCACAACCACCCTACCAGCAACATTGGCCGTAGATTCACCCACACCAGCACCCAGTGCCCAGACGACCGTCAATTTCACTGTGATCGCCGCTGCACAGGCATACGTGGAAACGCCGTCTGTCTCGTCGCTGCCCACAACCACCCTACCAGCAACATTGGCCGTAGATTCACCCACACCAGCACCCAGTGCCCAGACGACCGTCAATTTCACTGTGATCGCCGCTGCACAGGCATACGTGGAAACGCCGTCTGTCTCGTCGCTGCCCAAAACCACCCTACCAGCAACATTGGCCGTAGATTCACCCACACCAGCACCCAGTGCCCAGACGACCGTCAATTTCACTGTGATCGCCGCTGCACAGGCATACGTGGAAACGCCGTCTGTCTCGTCGCTGCCCACAACCACCCTACCAGCAACATTGGCCGTAGATTCACCCACACCAGCACCCAGTGCCCAGACGACCGTCAATTTCACTGTGATCGCCGCTGCACAGGCATACGTGGAAACGCCGTCTGTCTCGTCGCTGCCCAAAACCACCCTACCAGCAACATTGGCCGTAGATTCACCCACACCAGCACCCAGTGCCCAGACGACCGTCAATTTCACTGTGATCGCCGCTGCACAGGCATACGTGGAAACGCCGTCTGTCTCGTCGCTGCCCACAACCACCCTACCAGCAACATTGGCCGTAGATTCACCCACACCAGCACCCAGTGCCCAGACGACCGTCAATTTCACTGTGATCGCCGCTGCACGAGGCATACGTGGAAACGCCGTCTGTCTCGTCGCTGCCCACAACCACCCTACCAGCAACATTGGCCGTAGATTCACCCACACCAGCACCCAGTGCCCAGACGACCGTCAATTTCACTGTGATCGCCGCTGCACAGGCATACGTGGAAACGCCGTCTGTCTCGTCGCTGCCCACAACCACCCTACCAGCAACATTGGCCGTAGATTCACCCACACCAGCACCCAGTGCCCAGACGACCGTCAATTTCACTGTGATCGCCGCTGCACAGGCATGGAAACGCCGTCTGTCTCGTCGCTGCCCAAAACCACCCTACCAGCAACATTGGCCGTAGATTCACCCACACCAGCACCCAGTGCCCAGACGACCGTCAATTTCACTGTGATCGCCGCTGCACAGGCATACGTGGAAACGCCGTCTGTCTCGCTGCCCACAACCACCCTACCAGCAACATTGGCCGTAGATTCACCCACACCAGCACCCAGTGCCCAGACGACCGTCAATTTCACTGTGATCGCCGCTGCACAGGCATACGTGGAAACGCCGTCTGTCTCGTCGCTGCCCACAACCACCCTACCAGCAACATTGGCCGTAGATTCACCCACACCAGCACCCAGTGCCCAGACGACCGTCAATTTCACTGTGATCGCCGCTGCACAGGCATACGTGGAAACGCCGTCTGTCTCGTCGCTGCCCACAACCACCCTACCAGCAACATTGGCCGTAGATTCACCCACACCAGCACCCAGTGCCCAGACGACCGTCAATTTCACTGTGATCGCCGCTGCACAGGCATACGTGGAAACGCCGTCTGTCTCGTCGCTGCCCACAACCACCCTACCAGCAACATTGGCCGTAGATTCACCCACACCAGCACCCAGTGCCCAGACGACCGTCAATTTCACCAGATCGCCGCTGCACAGGCATACGTGGAAACGCCGTCTGTCTCGTCGCTGCCCACAACCACCCTACCAGCAACATTGGCCGTAGATTCACCCACACCAGCACCCAGTGCCCAGACGACCGTCAATTTCACTGTGATCGCCGCTGCACAGGCATACGTGGAAACGCCGTCTGTCTCGTCGCTGCCCAAAACCACCCTACCAGCAACATTGGCCGTAGATTCACCCACACCAGCACCCAGTGCCCAGACGACCGTCAATTTCACTGTGATCGCCGCTGCACAGGCATACGTGGAAACGCCGTCTGTCTCGTCGCTGCCCACAACCACCCTACCAGCAACATTGGCCGTAGATTCACCCACACCAGCACCCAGTGCCCAGACGACCGTCAATTTCACTGTGATCGCCGCTGCACAGGCATACGTGGAAACGCCGTCTGTCTCGTCGCTGCCCACAACCACCCTACCAGCAACATTGGCCGTAGATTCACCCACACCAGCACCCAGTGCCCAGACGACCGTCAATTTCACTGTGATCGCCGCTGCACAGGCATACGTGGAAACGCCGTCTGTCTCGTCGCTGCCCACAACCACCCTACCAGCAACATTGGCCGTAGATTCACCCACACCAGCACCCAGTGCCCAGACGACCGTCAATTTCACTGTGATCGCCGCTGCACAGGCATACGTGGAAACGCCGTCTGTCTCGTCGCTGCCCACAACCACCCTACCAGCAACATTGGCCGTAGATTCACCCACACCAGCACCCAGTGCCCAGACGACCGTCAATTTCACTGTGATCGCCGCTGCACAGGCATACGTGGAAACGCCGTCTGTCTCGTTGCTGCCCACAACCACACTACCAGCAACATTGGCCGTAGATTCACCCACACCAGCACCCAGTGCTCAGACGACCGTCAATTTCACTGTGATCGCCGCTGCACAGGCATACGTAGAAACGGCGTCCGTCTCGTCGCTGCCCACAACCACACTACCAGGAACATTGGCCGTAGATTCACCCACACCAGCACCCAGTGCCCAGACGACCGTCAATTTCACTGTGATCACCGCTGCACAGGCATACGTGGAAACGCCGTCTGTCTCGTCGCTGCCCACAACCACCCCAACGCTAGCGTCAACGGTGACTCAGTTTTCGGAACAGCATTCTACGGTTTTTAAGCTCGGTGAGTTGCGGTTGTGCACGCAATATGCACTGTCGGAGAGCTACTTGATAAATTAATGTGCACCTATGCATTTTCAGGTCGTAGGCCTTATGGTCGGCGTTGATATTTAACGTGGCCCATGGCTTGCCGCTCACAGTTCCAGTGAGGTAAAATGTGAATATACCGGCCGGTGCGACTACTGGAAAGGCTTCTTTTCCTGGCCAGCCAAGTTTAAAAGAGTTTTCTGGTGGTGTTTTCCCATCCAAATTCAGTGAGGATCCGCTGTATATTATGGCCACTTTGCCGGATTAGGAATACACAGCAGAAGTGCTTTTGTTATATCCTGTGATGTTTTGATTTTTATTATTATGACTTACTTAACTATTGTGTACGTATGACAAGCTGGAATTGTTGTTGTCCTTTTAGTTCTAACAGTAAACTTGCAGCATGGTTACAAGAGTGCCCCGTAATTCTTGACACATGAACAAAGCGACAATATAAATTCACGGGTTACGCCAAACTGCATGCTACGTCGCGCCACGCCACATTTACGCGTTACACGCTTAACAAACGCATATCAAATATCGATCTAAATTAGAAACTATAAATGTAAATAATAAAATACTCGTATTTTCTTTTTTTATAAGTACAGATCTGTAGTTTGAACATTCCTTAAATGTGGAGAGGACTCAGAGGAGTTTATTTGTCACTGTGGTAGACGTAGTGTAGTAGCAATCGTGCATTGCGAAGAATTCGCGCTAAATACCGTTTCCTGTTTTTTTTTTATATTTTTTTTATTTGCTGATTTTACATATATAAGTGATTACAGTACAGTGCTAAAATAAGATACGATACTAAAATTTTATATTATACTGTTGTTAAATTTAATAGTATTTTTAAGTACTCCGGATAAACTACGTATTCTAGAGCGGCAGTGCAGCCATCACACTAAGGCCTGCATAACTCCTCATTATAAGCTCCAAAAAGCGCGGCGCATAAAGGATTACATAAAATGACAAGGGAAAGACTGCTTACATAATATTACGCGGTGTAAAGTCCATCCAGCAAGCACACACCACAGACGCCCAGCTTGATGGCGCAGCTGCGTCGCCCCGGAACGTGTAGCCGGTGAATTGCAGTCCTCGCTGTCGGGATGTGTTCCGCACGCGGCGTCCATCGTATCCGGACGCCGCGTGGCATTCGCTGCTGGTGTGTTGTTGATCTCCACCGGCGTCAGCGTCGGTGCACTGGTATTAGGGTTCTTGTACAGGTCCACGATACGGGCATCAACATCCTTACCGGGATCCACCGGCAGCGCGCCCATGGTCTGCAGGTCCAGGTTGCACTTGTTCAGCCGGCACAGGCAGTACACCGCGTACTCATCCTCGCCGCTAGGACGTCGCTCATAATCCACACGGCTGCACAGAAAGTTCTGTCCGGCGAAGCCCTGCGGGCCCACGCGCGCGCCTATGCCGTCGATGTGGCGGACCGTGTCCGGTAGCGTGAAGACCGGGTAGTAGGTGGACTGGTTGGCCGGTGTGCCGGTGCCCGGACGGTAGCAGTTCCCGAAGCGCGCCCGTCCCACGACGGTGCCGTTAAGGTAGGGCGCCAGCTGTATATCGGTATAGTACAGGCACACGTCCGCGTTACCCGGGCACGTCCGCGCCGGGGGATAAGCCAGTAGCGGTAGGGCACGCTGGCACGTCTGGTTCCTGTGCGCCGCGTCAAGGTCCCTGGAGGCGGCTTCATCCAAACCGCCGGTACAAGCCCATCCGCAGTGGCATTCCTGTATGCCCACCATGCACTCCAGGCCGTGGACAGCCGCAGGACAGCACACCCCGACCACGAGCAGGTACTTGGCTACGGCCCGTAGCAGGCGCTGCATATGGTCACGCAATCAAGGCGAATGGCAATACTGTGGCAGTCGTCACCCTGCACAGCGAAAAATATGGCATTAATTCCTTCCCGTTCAGATGCCCGGACTAATAGGAGCAGCTAATTGAAAGCAACTGCGCCGGCACGCACTCGCTGTCGGGATGTGTGAATGGATCACTCATTCAAAGGGATCAATGATCATCAATCATTCCAGATTTATTGCCTCCCGACCTTCTCAAATGTACGGGAATCCACACTTGCGCGCTTGCGGACACCATGCACGAGTGACAAGGGGGGTTGGAGTACATACGGCCACCTTGCACATAGGAATCCTTAACGGAAAAAGACTGTTCCCACTGCTTTTTAAAGTTTTGGGGTTTTCTATGGGATTTCAGTGATTAGTATTCACTCTGATAATGTTTTCCTCGGCATAGGAAATATTTTTCTGTTTTCAAAACAGAACAGTTAGAACACATTGATTTTTCTTCTGTTTCAATTATGTACAACACACTGCACAGCTTGTTGCGTAACAGAAAATCTGTTTTGGTTGTGCTCATATTTTCTTATTAGACTGTGTTCATGTTTTATTGTTGTACCTGTTTTGATGGAAACAGCGAACTACGAATCCAGGATAATTGGTGTGCTGTTACATGCCCTCTTTGTTACCTTGACGATTCTAATTATGTTTCATCATAGTTAGTTGAAACAATGGTCATTATAAGAACTACACTGTATAGAAGTAATAATTTTAACAACAACAACAGCGTCAGCAAGTACAGTACGTATGTTGCACGGCCTGTACAGAGTACGCAGGCGTCTGGGAAAGGCAGAGCACTGTCACTACTTGACAATGTTCAACCTACAGTTGTGTGGCTGGTGAAAATTACATAAAAGAAAACAAATAAACAGACACAAAGCGCATAAAAAGTTCGTTCTCGATGGAGTGGCAACAGCGGATTTTCAACAACCGGTCGAGAGCGAGCCTAGTTTGATTTGCTACTTAAGAATGATAATTTTTGCGACGCGTAGAGCACAAGCCGGGGCTAATAAATGAAACTGCACAGCAGTGTTGTTTTGCTCACACTCAATAATTTTTTTTAAATTTTTATTTGAGACTGTAGTTTAGCGGTGGTAAACTACAGCTGCCAATTCAACTTGCCATTCATGTTAAACGTCTGCGGAATAGACTTGACATCAATCTATTCCCTCAAGCTTGCGTGACCGTTAACTGCAGTTAGACCGCGAGAGCTTTCAAAGTGAAGGGTGATTTTTTTCGTTCAGAGCAACAAGCCTAAAGTACTCCATTGCAACGAATTTAAACACCAACCATAACGGGTTGGGCCGCATTTGGGAGCATATCAGGTCTAATTTTGACCTTACTGAAAATGCAGACAGTAGTACACTGTACTAAACATGGCCTCGGCACAGAAACCTTGAACATAAAGATATCATATACAAAGGACGATATACAGTAGTGTCGGTCGCACAATTGCGTCAGTTTAATGACTTTAATCGATCATCCCTTCACACGGATCGCTTGTGGATTAGCCGCTTCTGATCTGAGTAGCGGCTCCTGTCCAAAAAGGCAGGGGATAAATAGTGGCAGTGGCACCTGCCACTGGCAATTGCCACTGGCAATGGCATCGGCCATTATGCTTCTGGCAAACGATAAAACGTGGCAATTGCCAAAAACAGTTATGCGTACTTTTTACGAAAAGTAATACGAAAAGTTGAGACCAAGAAATTTGACAAAACTAAGAAAGGGGTAACCGTTATCCTAGTAAATGGTGTTGGTAATAGTGCTGGTAGGTACACCGTGCCTGTAGTGGTAAACTGAGTAGTGCTGGTACCGATAGGGCAATGGGATTGGAAGAGATTATGGTACGAGGCAAGCGACAACTCTTTCCCATCGCTTTAGTAAATTTTATCACTTTCCCTGCTGCATCTTACCCGTGTGCAGGCGCTCACGTGATACTGATATCGTATCCATTGCAATCAGCGCTTAATGAGCCGGCGATAAAATCTCGCCTGCCGTGCTCTTCTCTGTATTCTTTATCAGTTTGCACAATCAACTATAGCTGCAAACCGACGTGAAACGGCTGAAATCAAGTATCACGTGAGCGCCTGCACACGGTAAGATGCAGCAGGGAAAGTGATAAAATTTACTAAAGCGATGGGAAAGAGTTGTCGCTTGCCTCGTACTGCTACTATGTATTCAGTCTTTAATTTTCTGTTTTTCGAATTAGGTGGAGGTTTCGTCAGGCCTTTCAATTTTTAGCTTGTAACGTTCTGAGGAGAAACTTAAAGGTATAACCGGCTTTTACGTAACCGTTTAAATTTTTTAGCTCGATTGGTGGCATTCAGAATTGTATCCAAAAGAGAATTTCTTTACGATTCGTAACAAAAAATAGGTTTCGATAACAGCTCTACCTAATGTCAAACGTTGACCGACAGTTACTGTATCCCTTTTCTAAGTTTTAAAGCGAAGACACTTAAAACCGGCACCACAGTTATGGACAGCAACTTTTGATAATTCGAGCTGTCAGAAGCACGATAAGCCACAAGCACTACAGTGTAATTAACGTAAATATTCAAAAAGATCAAAAATTATAAAGTATTTGCCAGAAAAATTAAATTATTATTGCTCTACGGTCCGTTCATCAAAATTACCGGGTGGCTCAACAAAATGGCGGGCTAGCTTTTCATTGTAAATTGGCCCCGCCCAACGTCCGATTCACTTCGCATTAGTTTCATTCGAAAGAGAAATGCTTCAAACATATAACTGCTTAATCATATTAAACGTAAACAAAGATTTAACTTTTTAGTGAATTATTTTAATAAAATAGGTATAATTTGGCGGTGACCCAGAATCGAAAATTTGATTCTCCCTCTTAACAATTTAAAATTTGCTATTATTCAGCTTGGTAGATTAAAATTTGTCGCTTTGATATTTCAGGTAGAGGGATTGTTTCTTGTTTTTTTACTGTAAAGAGACACGATATTCCGGTCACTGCGTTCGGTCCAGAAACTGGAGAGCTGGAGCGTCGGACATTTAATTTTCGTGAAATCCCCCACCAGCATTTTCAAAAATCAATTTCTCACCAACGCTGCAAACATGGATCTAAATTAAACTTGCTTTTATAAGAGTAATATCTCAGCTACACATAACACCTAAATTATCTTGTTTTGTTGCAGCCTGCCATGCAGCAAAAAATAATTAGTAAAAATGCTCAAAAATTAATAAACAAAATCGGCATTTTTGCCAAAAGTGAGTCGAGTGCATTGCTCCTCCACTGCGAGCACTATGGAAACCAATTTTGTATGCTGATAGAGTACGTCATTTTCTACATGAAACAGTTAAAAAAATTAAAATAGTTCATATGGATAATAAATGACACAAAATTTTAGAGTTCAAAAGCTGGGTCACAGTACGCTTCTCCACGATTTCAGTTGGCGCAGCTTTTTGCGAGCGTGTCCCAACTTTTCCTAAAACGTTTTTGTACGTTTACTAGCTAACAAAATTTGTAATTTAATGAATACAAAACCATTGATGTACGACAACCGGTTCACGAACAGCAACAAAAAACCGAGGCCGCCATTTTGCTGGGCCACCCGGTATAACCTCCCTATATTTGTAAATTACAGTTACCAATGACTTTGAGTTGGTTTCATTCATTAAAAATCCGTGATTTATTCCGCGCGGAAGTCTACTGGTCGGTTATACACGACTTGGGTTCGGCAATATAGCCAAGCAATTTTTGAACCTTTTCTGGCCATGAGATGACACGGTTTAAGTTACAGTAATGTCTAAATCGGTGTCCCGAATCAGTTTATTGGAATTTCGTGTTTGTGGCAACTGCCATGTTTCATCGCTTGCCAGTGAGCTGCCACTGCCAGTGGCAATTGCCAGTGGCAGGTGCCACTGCCACCTTTTATCCCCTGCCGTCCAAAAACGACATTTTAAACTTACGGCTGCCAAAGCCTTCAAAGACTGAAATAGCGTCCATTAATGGACACTGTGTCCATCATTGAAAAAGTTTTGTCCATTATTGATCAAAACAGTGTCCATCTTTGTAAAATTCAAAAAAAATGAGAAACATTAAGGGGGGTCTGTCAGGCAAAAAAATTTTTATATAATGATTTATTTATTGATAAAAATGTAAAGCCGGCAACTAAATAACTACTGCCGATCAGACCTCACGATGTGATTAAGCGCCTAACTGCATCCGTGTTCCGTGTTGTCTGCCGCCTGTCAGCTATCTTAAGTTATAAAGAAGGCAGACGGCAGTGTGTTAGTATCCGCGCCTGTTCCTTATGTGTTACTGAAAAGCACACAGCGGACAAAATATGGGACTGTTAGTTCGGAGAATATTCCGGGTTTTATTAAAAATCGTTTAACCTACAAATTAACACAACTCCGTTTTCGTCAGTCCTGCATGAAATACAGGTAGTGCGTTTTTCCTACCATGTTTACCAGTAAATTTATCTGTATATGATGATTTAAAAATTGACCGGCGCGATTTCTGCTTATAATGGCCTCTAAAGGGCCCCCGCTTAAAAAGGCGAAAACAGATTTGCATGAAGATTTTGAGAAGGTTGGGGCAGTGGGCAGGAGAATGACCCGTTGTAAATATTGTTACCGATTTCCAACGATTGTGAAGAAAGGTAAAAATGTGTATAACGGTAAAATTCCCGGAATATGCACGGAGGCTGGCGAGAAGTTCACTCAGTCCATCGTTGATCTCCACCTCCAGACCGAATACCATCGCGAATGTATTAAAGCGTACCAGATCTCGTTGCTTCCGTCATCGCAACGTTTGGCTGAAGGCCCAATTGGAATTTTCGTAAGTGCGAAAATGAAGGAAGCGGCAGAAAGAGTTGCAGGCCATATGATGGATGTTTACAATGATGCGAAACGAGGTACATTATCCGCCCATTCTTGGCCTTCTCGTAAAGTTGCACAGATTGTTGGAAGTTCACTTGAACTGGACAAGCCATTTGTTCCATACGCGCCCGACAAACCACTGCAGTATGTTAACCCTAAGGAACATCAGTATTTATTGGAAATTATTGTAAAAGCTGACTTGCCACAACTTCAAGAGAAGCTGCACCAGTCTTTGGCAGTGTCGATGCGCGTAGATGGAAGCGTTGACAAAACTCAGTCAGACAATAAATTCGTAATGTTGAAAATCATTACGTCTTCCGGAAATTCTGAGTTAATTTTCCTAGGATACGATCAGCCAAAAGAGCGCAAAGCAAAAGGTACGTGCGTGCTTGTATACTGTATGTATCAACATTAATATGATAATATAGTGGCTGGAATTCATTCAGGATATACCGTATAGTAGCCGGAAGTGCACACACATGGGAATCAGAGTTTTTTCACTTGTTGCACAGGCTACTTTGAAGCCATCAAAAGCGCATGCTCGCCAGTGATTTCGTGGGACGTTCTATCAGCCATAATGACGTCTCTGGTAACTGATGGAGAAAGCATGAATACCGGCGAAAAGGGCGGCTTGTGGGGTCTTCTTCGTAACGAAAGGTCAAAAACAGCGAATACACGCGATCTGCCTTTGCTGACCATTTGGTGCGCTGCTCATCGGGCTAATTTGGCCTTTAAATCTGTTGCCAAATCAGTTCCGGAAGTCAAGTCAATTCTCCAGCTGTGCACCGATTTAGCCAGCTTCTTCCATCATTCGGGGCTCCGTAGTGGCGAATTAAAGAGTTTGGCTAAGGCGAAGAACTTAGGATTAAAAGTAAGAACTGTATCGGTACTAAACTACTTGATCCTAAATTTTAAAATACTTCGTACTATTGTTATACTGTATTCAAATGTTAATTATGCACAGCAACGTAAGTGACGCATTGCAATTACAATTTCAGAATTTTCCGGAAACGTTTGAAGTGCGTTTTGCTGAGCATACGTATAATTTGCTGGAGTCCATTTTACACTCTTTGGAAGCACTGCTCGCATATTTTTCACAATCAAATCTCGAAGACTCAGCAAAACGAAAAGGCATGCTGGCGGTCTGGACGGACAAAGACTTTGTTCGAACGTGTTGTCTGCTGCGAGACTCCTTGTATATCTTCCAACGATTTCAAATGAATCTGCAGTCGAATAATCTCATTTTAACTGACATTACCGTGCAAGTTGCTAGCCTCAAAGAGAAGTTGCAGTTGCTGTTGAACAACGAAACCGGCAGCGTGGGCGGTAGAGAAGAATCCTTTTGCAACGAATTAAAGGAAGTAGAAGTGGACAACGAATTAGGATGGGAGTGGCGGGGATTCACCTTTACGCAAAAAATTCGACGGGGTAGAAACGCCAACCTGTATGTTTCTGACAGCCGAAGTTTCCAAGCTGTGCGAACGGAAATTGTACAAAGTTTAATTAATTTCGTGGAAGAGAGAATGTCGATCGACTCTGGTATTGTGAATGCTGTGAAGCCATTAACCAATTTTTCAAAGGAGAATTCTGGCCAGGCGCTTAAGGCGGCACATTCCTTCTGATACCAGAACTATCGTTGGAAGATTTTGCTCAGGAATATCAAGAGATAGCTCACCAGTTTCCAGGAACACAGCCTCGAGAAGCTCTTACTGTATATATACACATTGCTTATATTATTAAAAATTAATAAAGATACACATTTTTTAATTTATTTTACAGCTGGCGATATCGCATCCTGAGTGGAAAAACGTTATGACAGCGTTGGCACGGTTCTTAGCCGCAACACCGCATTCGTGTGATGTAGAGCGACTCATTTCCAAGTACAATATGCTGAAAGACAGTATGCGTTCGAGGATGTCGGACGATACACTCCGCAGGTATCTGTACGTGACTTTCAATATGCCGGTTGTTGCGGGATACAATGTGAGACCAGCAGTGCGCTTATGGCTGACCGAAAAAGACCGTCGCCCTCGAGAGTCGGCTCCATCATCCAAGCCGGACTATTATAATGGCGTTTTTGAGAAGTAGCGAGAATTGAAATTGGACGCGACGAATCCTTTTATCAACTTAACCATCGTGCAATAATTTTTCAATATGAGTTGTTAAACCACTTTTTTGCTGTTCGGATGTCCCGAAACTGCAGATAACTAACCATACGTGCTCTACCTTATACAGAATGATATTTATTGAACAATAAAATTTGGCCAAAAATTTGCATCCCCTGGGTATGCCTCTAGGGGCGTCCATCATTGATTTTCAACTATTTCAGTCCCTGAAAGCCTTGGTGGACATGGTCTTGGTACGTAGTAAAACTGCGTAAACACAGAAAGGTCAGATAACCATCGAAGCTCCACAAGCGGACAAACAAGAATATCTGTAACAAAGCGGTCTACTGCTAAGTGCCGGTAAGAACATACTCTTCGAATACTTCTATATAATTATGGTTTTGATTCCTGCACTATGCCATCTTCAGATCCTGCTCTGCATGATGTTTATTCCGTAGGAGGCGAGAGATGGCCACACTGCAGTTATCCTACTTCAAAGACCGCGTCGATCCCGTAGATGGCCAAGCGGCTTAATGTGCGGACATCCACCAGACGCAGATCGACATCAGCCCACAATTTTGGCTGGCCGTCGGGCTCGAACGGGCTGAACCTGCGGATGATAAAGCCGTCACAACCGGAGACACGCGAAATCCAGTTACCGTTCAGTTATATAAACCAACCAAAAATCACAGCACATGTATCCCACAGTAGCGCAAACGGTTTCGATTGCATGCATGAAGTAATACTAGAAAAGTGTCCTTTTGTTCATCGGGACCTACACATAAGTTCATAAACGCAGCGGACACGCCGGTAAAGCCATCCTGAAATTATGAATTATGCCCTAGAAATACTATGAGAGATTGTGATCACCTGCTAGAGATTGACTGGTAGGTAATGCATTGATTTTTGTATCGGCGGCATACAGTGCAACAGCGCCTACGCCTTCAACCCGAGTTCTGTCGATCGTCTTGTTTCTTCGCTAATTCTGATACTGCCCTGCCCGTACGTAGCGTATTTTGCTTGCTTTTTCTCGTGTTCCGGTCACTTTGAGTGTATGGTTCTATATTTCGGTCACCAGGTAGTTAAATTTCCTGACAAAACGAAATTCACAGAGATCATCAGTTTTTATAAAAACGCCTCTTATTAAATTTGAACGTAAACATCAATAAATTTTTGTGAAAAACAAAACAAACAACAGAAACTCTAAACCGGGTGAGATGCAAAACACCGCTCTTTTAAGTCTATAACCTTCTACAAAAGAAATTTAATGGACCCTTGAAACGTGTGAGGGTTGGGTGGGCTTGCTTAGCGAACTGCACATTTGGCGGGTGGCAGTGCGAGCAGCAGCTGTTTATGTAGTGCGTCGCATGTGCGATCGCACCAGTGACCGGTGACCGAAATATGAAACTATACAATCAAAGTGACCGGAATATGAGAAAAGCGAAGTATGCCGAATACGTACTTTCAGTAACTGGATTCCAACGCACCTATTAACTGACATTGAGCCGGTACAGACACTGCTCTGTATGTACGGAAATAAGTGTCGGGACTGCTAACGACAGGGAACATATCCCTAGCGCCTGCCAAATGACAAATCAGATATCGCACAGCGCGGCATGCTTCATGACTGTGCACCACAACCAAAATTTAATTTGTACTCACACCAAGAGGAAGTTGCGAATGGGCTGCCAATCCTCTGGATAGCTTAACGTGCGCATCCAGCGAGCATACACCACCGTGACCTTTGCTAGCATGTCCGCAGGGACCGACGGGAAGTTCTTGTTTAAGCCGTACATGACGCGGCTGGCCATGTGCATTTCGCTTTCGTCGCAGCGCAGTAGCATCCGCGGAACGGTGATGTGTATTTTGTCGATGGGCAGCTCATGCGATTCCGCCGTGATCTTGCGTATAAATGCCTGCTCTTGGGGTGGCATAAATGTGCTGGACGGGCCACGGGTAGCTAAAAGCAAAGAACATCGTTCTGCCAAAAAGATGGTCCACTTTCCAGTTATCGAGCAGGATAAAATCGCAGTTCTGCAGATAATGATGGAATCTTATAACTTCTACTGCAGGATGCCGCATATCCTCCTCGTCCAAGCAGTGAATCTGAGGATCTGTCATACTCGTAATATGGTCCTTGAAGACAACTAGCGGCAACGTAATTTTTAGCGCTTTCAACACGTTAACTAGAAACAATTTGTTGTGTCATGCAAGTGAAACCGAGTTTAGTGTTATACCGCGAGTTACATACGCTACCATAGAAAATTAATATCTTCAAATTTTAGGCGAGTTGCGTTACATTTAAGATTTTGGGTAGCGAGTTACGCTTCAGAGTTACGTTAAACCCGATAACTTGCAAATAACTCGCGTTAAGTTATAGAGTTAAGTTAAAACTGCCCAGGTCTGCAACGGACATCTGACTGCGATGCCCGGGACGTAAATAACATTTCGGTGAACTGCAATCTGTAGCGGACATGTTGTACCTGCATTTTAATGCAGTAAACCTTACTAATGATTGACTGCAGTGACGAATGTTTTGAGGGCGAAGACCCTCCCAAAATTGCTTCAGAAGTGTGTTCTTAAAAAAAAGCGAACGGTCTAAAATTCTAACAGGTTTAACCGGGGTATGTACCGGTAACAGGAGAAAATGCTGCTGTAGATACAATGGACTCCAGCAACTTCTTACAGACGGTCCGCGACCGAACGGCCAATCAAAATAAATGGTCAAGGCCAAATAACCAGTAACAGGAAACGCTTAAGAATTTGAACACTTGTGCCTTGCGCATTTCCCAACGAAAACCATTAACCGATATTACAAACGAAAGAGAATACAAATTCTGGAATTTTGATGCCATACAGGTCGACCTTCATGATATGTCAGAGAAAATCTAGCCATTTTAGTTTGTTTGTTGTAGACAAAGCATACGATCTGTATGTGAAAACTGAAACCAAACCGTGGATTCAAATCCCATGTTGTGAAATTTTGATGTAGTAAAAGAAGACTGATGTTTTCAATTATTATAAAATTACGTTGTACCACAGGTGAAATAAAACACAATCCCATGCTGTGTCTACTGTCTACGAGAAAATTAGGTGCTTCGATTTTCTCTTAGATCTCATACAGGATGACCGGTTTGGTATCGACATTCATGAAATTTTTTTTCTCTTCTGTTTGAGATATCGGTTGATGGTTTTCGTTGTTCAGTGCTCGAAGTGCAAGTGTTAATACCAGCAGGCAGATGCACCAGTACGCACTGTACCTGTTTCTTCCAGACAACGTTCAAACATGCATTGATTTCGCATACTAATCGCTGGCAGAAGAGCCCGGTTGGCTAAATGTGTCTCCAGCACTTGTGTTAACGTCGCCACCATGTTCTGTGACATCTCGGCGTCCATTTCACGACTGAGGACAACAAACGTGCATCCATCCCGTTCAGTTCGCAGACAAAAGCGACCGCCGTTCCACACGTAGTCCTTGTTCCCTTTACATGTATCCACGAAATGCTTGACGATTCGAACTTTGTCGGAGGCGTCACGAAAAAGCGTCTGGGTCGCGGGAAACGGCACCATGTACCTGCTGCACCGCAGACTGCCACCGGATTGATGAAGTAGCGGGGAATCAGCGGGCGGCAGTTGTTCGGTAATCTGGCAGTTCTGCACAAGTTGCCAAAGAGCTCTGTTTTGTTGGTCGTTCGTGCCGGCAGTATCGGTTTTGACGTAGAACATTTGACACTTATCACATCCATACAGTATGCCCAGTCTTGTTACCGGTCGGAAGCGGAACGGCCCGTCGTTTTCGTCTCGCAGTGCCGCGTAGACAGGCATTTCGGGCGGATTCGGTGCAATTAGGTGGATGTTCCAGTAGAAAGGCAACGCCCAGACGCGTCCCATGTGCAACCAACGGGGAGCGGCCTTTTTGGCGTCAAAGTGGATGAAGGCGTGGTCCCCTTGGATATTTTGTATGTAGCCCAGCCACCAACTGTCGTCGTCGTTGTGGACCACCACTGTGTTCTGGTAATTTATCTGGTTGGCTGTCGCCAAAAGCCGCTGAAACTGTGGCATTACCAAAGGCGCACCTTCCATGCTGATCTGTTTAGAAATAAAAATGGATAATGTGGATTCTGTTAAGTAACCCAAATGCCGATATTCGGAGCAGCTCAGCATAATCGGCTTAGGACGACTTGTGCTCAACGTTTGCTTCAACTGTCAGTTTGTGATTTCAAATCATACTTAGATCGTCGATACTTCCTAGGTTCCTCAAGAACCGAGTAACATTGTTACGCGGTTCTTGAGGAATCTAGAAAGTATCGACGATCGATCGTTCCCTGCATTGCGCTTTCTACGCACTTACAGTGTAGGTACTGCAATTAATCCCGGGAAACTGGGATGTACTAAGATGTCATAGACACGTATAGGCAGAAAAAAGCTGATGTCAGTTAAACGTGTAGGCGGTGTAGTCAGATAAAAGCAGGAAACATTGCATACTCGTAAATTCATTAATTTTATTTTGCCATTGCTGTAATAAAGACCCCAGTACCAAAGGCCCAAAACACGCCTGGGCTGTCTATTTACATAATATTAATTTTAAACATACGCGTATACAGGCTCGTAGACGTTTTATGACATCGTGTGATTACATACGGCATAATTTGCCTGTTCGCCAACGCAATGAACGCATCTGATAATTTATTCGCACTTTCACAGCAAGCATGGTTAGCCAGTCTAGCCTGCAGCGTGAAAGTGAAAGCCGGCTGAACGATCAAGCGGATACTGGCACTCAGCAAGTTACAGCGCTCTTTTCATTTTCCTTAACCCAGCAATGCCCGGGATATCAAGGAATTTTTTGTCGAAGTTGACATTCATACCATAGAATAACAAATTAATAATAATATAATGAACTAAAATTGATTTTTTCAAAATCTTTGCTGCAGTAGTTTGAAATTTGAAGGCTAAGTGCAAATTGCATCACTTGGGTATTACAGCAGCGCTTTTCTACGGTGTGGGAAAAGTGGTTGCCATCGGAATAGTGAGAACTTGCACTTTATTCAAGCACACTTTATTTATTGTCATATTTCCATAAATTATTATGACGATGATGACTGGCATAAAATATGCAAAAACCAGTTTTAACAAGTTTAAACCACAGGATACCATTAACAGCCTTAAATGTATGAATTAGAAGAAACAGAAAAAATCCCAAATAAATAAATAATAATGTGAAAAAATTTTAAACTGCAGAAAACAAAACATCTGAGAAAACTAAAAGCAAGAGGTATACTAACGTGTGCATAAGAACGCTAGCAGTAGCAGGCTAGCAGTAGCAGCAGAATAGAATAAATTAAAAATTAATATCACTCGTAATAATTTTAGCTCTTACAGATAAATACAGACAAGAACTTACTATAGGTAGAGGACTGGGAAGCGACTCTGCAACGGTCGACTACGTCATCACTGTCGCATACAGAATGCACTGGTGTGCTATTGCTTACCATAGGCCCACAGATTTTATTGTCCCTTTTTAAAGATATTCTCAGTTCCTTTCTCCTCTAAAGCTTTCTGATATTTTAACACATCATATTGAATTTAGAAACCCAAACATCTGGGGCTAGAAATAGAAGAGAAAAGAAATATGCTGAGAAAACTGACAAAAACCGTAAAAAACGCGCATCTGTCACCATGGCAGCCGCCCTCCCGTGTATGCGAGAGTGATGACGTCAAACGGTAGGTTACCCGTCCTCCTCACACTATAGTAAGTACTTGATACAGAGTAAACGAGTACTGTACTCTGTATAGTGTATACGTACTTATACCAACAAAGCATTTGAAAATGAATACTTTAATGGTTACATTGCTTATTACACAGTAACAATAACAAAATTTCACATCATTCACGTTCAGCTAATTTAAAAGCAAAATATAAGTCTTCCTTTTCAACCATGTCGCTGAATGTACCGAGAACAGAAACTGCATTTCCTCGTTTTTTTTTTAATTTTATAATTTTTTATTAGCACAAGCCAGTTAGAATACATGAATTGGCAACAAATAGAGAATTACAATAACAAAATTTCTTCTAATTTATCCGCTCCTTCCATCGTCCCCAGCACGGAAGCCGCGTTGCCTCGTTGTAATTCGATCGACAGACGTTGACGTAAGAATTCGTGTGAGCGAGGTTCCCCGGTGTGTTGCTGTAGCCGCTTGCCGATTTCCTTTATTAAAGCAGATGCCGATTTTCCCCAGGGCCCGAAGGTTTCAAAGGCTAGTGCTGCAAAAATGTATCTGCCTACAAGGTACGCATAGAGTCTGGCTTTCTTGTCTTCGGCTTGGGCCGCGGCGGATCCGGCAGCTGAGGAAGTGGACTTGATATGGGACGAGGCGACAGTGTCGACGCAGGTGACATCCCATGCCAGACACATACCACGTTTCCAGGCAAAGGTCGTGCATCCGTCTGGGCGACGTTCGGACGTATGGGATGTGCCACGAGGTTCTAGTTTTGCTGGAATGCCCGCCGAAACCAATGATCGGCACACAATGCTGTTCAAAGCACCGTGCCGTGCATGTCTCCCGGCCGAAAACGAGCATGACAGTCCATGGTGGCCGTATACATCTACAGGCTTGCGGCATTTGGCAAATGCGTGTGCTTCACATATGACTACGCCCAGCCTGAGTCCGACCGATATCTTGAGGGTATCGTCATCTAAGAGATTTCCGATGTGTGCCGACGGCAAAGCATTTAGCCAGATACCTGCTTCCGGTTTCGACTGGGCAAGGAGGCGGGCTCGGTTGGTTTCATCGTCCCGGAAGACTTCCAGCAGTGTCGACAGCGACATGTTGCAGAGCGGTACATCCCATGCGCGCTGCGACTTCAAGTAGATGGATTTCCTCGTTGAATCTCGATACCAATTTTCTGCCGCAAAAACTCCCCTAACCAAATGTTGCCCGTACAGTCGCTGATTTTTCTCGACAGCTCTTTGAAAAATTTATTCGTCCGTGGTCCGAATGAACCCGTGGTTTCAAACGCCAACGGTTGGACGATGTAACGGTCTCCCAACCCGCTGTACTTTCCTAATTTCCGGTCTTCGTGAATTTCCGCTGCACTTCCGGCACTCTGGACGTCTGGGCAATGTACGTTTGGGCATTTTGTACGGAAAGGTAGCAGATATAATATGTAATGCTGCCCGCGGGCGGTCCGGGTGAACACAGCTTTCCATTCCATTGCCAACGGTGGTGGAATGGATCTCTCAACTGCCAGTCTGCCACTACCCAACGGCTAGCAACGGCGTCCAGAAAAATCACCCGACCGATCAGTCGAAAAATTATTTTCAGTTTCAAAATTTCTTTCTTCGAGTATCATGCATCCTCAACCGCCGCATGCCCAGCGCACCGGTTCTCCCCATTCCTCCAACCACACCCCGAAACTTCCATCAGCAGGCGTTGGCAGCGGTGCTAAACCCGCGCCTAGACATGCCTCACTGCACCTGACGCACGTTCTCTTTTTCCCCTTCCTCCACATTTTTGACATCTTAACCACATTGACCCTGTTTCTCTTGTGGTCCGGCCCGCGCCGTTTATTCTCCTACGTTTTCCCCACACCCCCGAAGCAGATTTCTGAGAATCGTCGCCGATTGATCATGTCGGGACCGAGTTTCAATCGCGATGATAAAAATCGCGCGTCGGGTTCGTCGCGGACACCCAAGGAGATTGACATTGATTCCTATCAGAAATTCCACAAATTTGGCTATGATTTGATGTGCAAGGCGTTGACCATGGATGAGGGAAGCTCGGGTGAGATTGCGCGCGATGGTGAAGCTGTTTGGGAATTTTTATGGATTTGTGTTTGAATTTCAGTGGATGAAGACAAGAAAACGGCGGTGGCGCTGTATGTTCAAGCTATCCTGGAGTTGGAGCGCGGAGTCGCGGCCATCGACAGTATTCCCGATGCCCTGAAAGTTTCTGAAGGTAAAACAATTTTTCAGAACGATTTCACTTGCGTAGAATGCGTTAAAACAGAGATCTTTCACGAAAAACAGGAAGAATCTGAAAATCGATGACATCAGCTGATAAATATACTGTGTGTGACAATATTTCTGTAGCCCCTATGCGTAACGGCCATTGCTGGTACAGGATACTACGGCGATATAGCAGCGAAGCGTTATCGTTTCGTTGATTTATTTGTTGACTTTAGGAATTCTGCGTTGAATTTTCACAGCGTCATCCGAAATTTTTAATTTTCTTGCAGCGGATCGCTTTGAACGCGTGCAGGTGATAAAAAACAAAATCATGCGGAATTTGGAAATGGCGAAAGAGCGTGTGACCATTCTCGGTAAGTTTGGCATTTGAAACGCAATATTATTTTTCATTTTAATTTGAAAAAATAAAATTAAATAATTTTCTTATTTTCTGCCGTTCCTTCTTTAATCATCATTTAAAGCTATCTTTTACACCCAGAGTTTTAGTTATTATTTTTCTTAAAGCTTGGGATTTTTATTTCAAAAATAAAATCGATTTAAAAAATTAATGGAAAAAACCGGAAAACTTGGGATAATTCGAGAATAATTTATTTTTTATTCTTTGCTGATTTCGTTGATACAGTTTGTAATTTTTTGTAGGCGATGAATTGGAGGCGAATATGCTGGCACCGGCCAAGAAACCCGCCGAGCAGCCGAAGCGACCGATTACGAAAGCCCGCAACAGCAATGTGAAAGGATTGACGTTAATGCCCGGACAGAAATTCAATAATGCGGCGAAAATCGCTCCCGTCTCTCCGACGCCGCAGCGCACTTCAAATGTAAGCTCATCAGTATGAACTCACTATAAGGATGGATAAATTATTGTCAATGTGCTGAAAATGGGTTGAAATTGGGTATAATTTGTGAAAAAATACCGAGATGGATTTCGCTAAATTTATTACGATAATTTGTATTTTTGGGTATTATTTTATAAATTTAATACGATAATTTATTACCTGTTTTCCAGTTTTCTTTATGAATTTGTTACGCTGATTTGTTACCTCATACTTCATAGATTAGTCGGCAAATGTATCGCGATAACTTATTCCTTATTGTGTACTTAATATTATTGATTTCTTCGAATTTGTCACGATTATTCATTGCGATTGAGTTGTATAAACTTGCTTCTGTCATGAAATATTTTTGAATTTTCTTATGAACCAATTAATTTATTTTGCAACTGGTATTATTTTAAAAAATTCAGCTACGATGAATTTCTTTTTATTAAATATTTTTAAAATGAGTGCAGTGATTCGGTGGATTTATTTGCCTGGTTTATTGAGTTATTCTGTTAAAAAATAGCGATTATTTGATTATATAAAATTATTTCCGATAATTGAATTTAATTTATTCCGAATGTGATAGGTGATACCGAAGAGCACCGGCGCCAAGACCTCCCGCAGTCCCTCGGGCGGGCGCGGGGGCGCCAACGCCCGCCGCCCACTGCCGACCTCCACCACCACCGCCCGCGCGCCCCGCCCCACCTCCCGCGAGGACCCCGCCTCGCCGGGGCCGCCCGTGACGCCGCGCAGCCAGCGCAAGCATCTCGGCGCCCTCAAGAACGTCGACTCGGCCATGGCGCAGCTCATCCTCGACCAGGTCATCGACAACTCCCCCGGGATCACCTGGGACGCCGTGGCCGGGCAGGAGGGCGCCAAACAGGCCCTGCAGGAGAACGTCGTATGGCCGGCGCTGCGTCCGGAGGTCCGCAGTTGTTTTACATATTTATTTATAAAAATTAAATATTTATTGGAATTTCTTACTAATTTATAATTAATAAATACTATTTGTTTGTTGAATTATTTATAGAAATTGAATAATTATTAGTGTTTTTTTCTGATTGATAATTAGTAAATACTGGTTATGTAGTATAATTAATGACCACTTCTATGAATATTTTTATCCCTTTAGAATAAATAAATTTTTATTCGTCGTGCAAAAATGATTATTGATTATTATAAAATTAAAAAATATACTGATAATTAAACATATATTCTCTGTTGCCTTCTTCGGACGATCCGGTGATCGGCGCTGATTTATTTGCACGCTTTTGAACAGGTTTTTACCGGATTGCGGGCACCGGCACGCGGGATCCTGCTGTTTGGTCCGCCGGGCAACGGGAAGACGCTGCTGGCCAAGGCGGTGGCCACCGAGTCCAAGCAGACCTTCTTCAACATCAGCGCCTCCATCCTGACGTCCAAATGGGTCAGTTGCCCGTGTTATTCTGCTTCGTTAATTTTTTTTATATTACTACGATTAATATTGTATTTATTCTCCATTAATTTTATTCGTATCGTAATTGAATGCGTTACAGTATTTTGATTTATGTGCCCTTTTTTTTACCATTTATTTATATCATTGCGTTGTAGACCTGTTTATAATTATTTGTTTTACGTTTCTTCGGTGATATTTTTTTATATATTTTTGTTGTATTCTTTTATGTGTGGTGACTGCTGAGGCATTTTTTGATCGTTTATTTGCGAAGAATGTTTTCTATCTCAGTTATTAAATTAATAACAATTTTTTTATACTCGTATTTCGCCGTGTGCAATTCATTGTTGTGTGGCTGCAGGTGGGGGACAGTGAGAAGCTGGTGCGGGCGTTGTTCGGGTGCGCGCGCGAACTGCAGCCCAGCATCATCTTCATCGACGAGATCGACTCCATCCTGTCGGCCCGCAAGGACTCGGAGCACGACGCCGTGCGCCGGCTCAAGACCGAGTTTCTGGTGCAGTTCGACGGCGTGGGCACCACCAGTGAGGACCGCATCCTGGTCATGGGCGCCACCAATCTCCCCCAGGAACTCGACTTGGCCGCGCTTAGGTACGTCTGCATCATTGCAACGTTGCGACAGTTGTATTTAACGACGACATGGAATTTTGTGTGATTTATTCGTGATTAAATTGCTGCTTTATCCACAAAATAATTACATTTATTCGTCTAATTTATTCATTTTAATTCTTGGTTCCATGGTAATTAATTCTTAGACTCTTCAGTAATTCGCTTTTTGTTACATAATTCAGAATTAGATAAGAACATAACATTTAGTAAATTAGTGATTTACTGAATAAATAAATTCCTAACTAAACAAATTATTTTTTCCATTTATTAATACTAATATCGGCAATTCTTAATACCGATTAACTATATTGTTTTTTCTAAATAAATGGTGTAATGTATACGTAATTTTTGGTTGCATTTTATAATTGGAAAAATTACTGTTAATTTTGTAAAGCGTAATAAATTTTTTTGAACGAGATTGGTTGGATGTGGGTGGTAGGCGGTTCCCCAAGCGCATCATGATCCCGCTGCCGGATGAGGAGGCACGCATGGGGATGATTAAGAAGCTGGTGGGCGACCACCCGGCCGCGTTGCGTGAGGAGGACTTCGAGGAGATCGCCGACATGACGGAGGGCTACTCGGGCAGCGATCTGGCCGCCCTGGCCAAGGACGCCGCCATGGGCCCCATCCGCGAGGTGGACCCCGCCCGCGTCCCCAATCTCAAGCCCAAAGAGGTATGCAACAGCTGGCCAGTTTCATTATCTTCTTGGAATCACTCACGCCATAAATTTTATCAACCGTTTGAGCTGTTTATGGCGATTTTATATTGTTCCTCCGCTTATTAATAAGTTTTCTATTTACTGAGAAATGCTGAGATGATTATTAGCTGCTTATTGTCAACAGATATACTGGATTAAAAAAAATATTTTTAAAAAAAAAAAGGCAGATGAAAATAAATAAGAAATTCGCCATGAATTTTTGTTACGCATTCGGGATCACGGATTTCCGATTATTGATTTCTTTCAATTATTAAATTATTCTCAATAATAATTATGGGACAATTAAATGAGCCGTTAAAGGTGATTGATAAAGGTGTTGATAATAAATGAAGACGGTGCAGGAGAAATTGGCTGTTTTTCTTTTTACGCATTTTTTCTGTAATTGATCGGTATTTTTTAAATGCATTTTCCAGTTATTATTTCATTAATTTATTGTTAATAATAATTAATAGGAAATTAAATTGGCGGTTAAAATGTGATTAATAGGGTTGAAAATGAATGAAGACAGTGAAAGAGAAATTCTCTGTTTTTCTTTTTACGCATATTTTCTGTAATTGTTCGATATTTTTTTAATTATTTTATTAATTATTATTTTATTAATTTATTGTTAATAATAATTAATAGGAAATTAACTTGGCAGTTAAAATGTAATTGATCGGGTGTTGAAAATAAATGAAGACAATAAAAAAGAAATTCTCTGTTTTTCTTTTTACGCATTTTTTTTAATTCATCGGTATTTTTTAAATGAGCGGATCATTTGTCATCTTTTTTTGTTAGATTCGCCCGATCACGTTGGACGATTTCATCGACGCCACGCGGCGCATCCGTCCCTCCGTGCCGCCCAGCTCCATCGACGACATGAAGGCCTGGTCGTTGAAATACGCCGATTGCTCGTGAAATTTTAATGCTGCTAATTTTTTTGCTGGGTTAAAATTTAATTGGTTGATTCTATACTGCATGGCATTCCAATAATCGTCTTTTTTTGTTCGAGCCGATTTTTGGTTGGGATTCTGTTGTCTCCTGCAGTTGTTGTGATATAGCCGTTTTTTTTAACGAATTTATGCTGGATACGATTATAATAAGTATTTAATTTTACGCGCTTCAATGGCACTGACGAAACATTGCGGGTCAATGCCGATTTTATTAGTTTATCCCCGGAAGCAATAAGGTTATTCTCGAAAATAAATTACTGCCGAATTCATACATTTTTTGATTCACCATGATAGCATTTAATAACCATCTGGATTTAAAAAATTAATATCCATTAAAAGGAATATTTTTCTCATAAAAAAGGAATAATCGAAAACAAGAATCGCCCGGTGAAATAATTTTTTTGTCTTTTTAAAAATAGCCTAGAATATTCCAAAAATTCCGGATTATTTAATCTGAACATTAAAAAATCCGTATTTTAATAAAAGGAATGTTTGTTATAAAAAAAGGAATAATCGAAAAAAGGATCACCCGATGAAACGAATTTTTAATACTTTTAAAAGAATTTTCTGAAAGGTCTTAATTATTAAAAAACAACTTAGAATATTTTAAAAATTATTAAAAAAGTATTCTAAAAACTCCGAATTATTTTTATGACAATCTTAAATGATCGGTTGTTATAAAACTGCACAAAATCTAGAATTAACGCTTTCGGGCTCGTTCAATCAGTTGCCGCTTTGAGGATGTCGGGGCAAGTGCTCGAAAGCCGACGATGTCCGAACGGTCGCAACTGAACGGCGCCGCTGGTCGCCGACTTCCGTTGAGACAAGCCGCGCCGAACACCCCTTTATTGAATCTTTGAACACAACAGAGCAACGCTGGTGGTAATAAACAGCAGATCGGAGAAGATCGAAGAATCAACAACAGGACAAGTGATGACATAGTATATTTCCGGGTGGGCGGGCGGTTTTTTAGCGAAAATTGGGAAACTAATAGTTAAAACTGGATCGAACACAACTGAGTTCCTTCTAATAATTTGTTCACGTCATTACTGGATGACGTGACTATGTTGCTAGGGACAAACAAACTCGCCCGGCGTTAACGGTATTTAACGCCTTAAGCGTTAAATAGCATTAACGCTTTCGGGCTCGTTCAATCAGTTGCCGCTTTGAGGATGTCGGGGCAAGTGCTCGAAAGCCGACGATGTCCGAACGGTCGCAACTGAACGGCGCCGCTGGTCGCCGACTTCCGTTGAGACAAGCCGCGCCGAACACCCCCAAAGCGAAGCCGCGGCCCAACCGGAAACGACAAAACACAACCGAACACGGGAGAGCTGTAATAAGATTTCATGATAATAAACGAGTATACAGATGAGAATTTGATACAGAAGACTGCTGAATGTATCTATTAACCACATCACTAGTCCAACGCCCCATCTTTGAACATCCGTTAATGTGATGCCGGCGTTAGCAGCAGTTGAAGCTGCACCAATGCGAAACGAATGGGTTGACATTGTGTGACCGAAGCAACTTTGAAGCAGAATGGATACACGTTGACGAGTTAGATATTTCCGTCTGAAAAACAAAAGAATGGAGATGAAGAATCAAAACAGGAATCCCGAAGCGCTCGATAACGAGACACAGCAGTAACAGGGCAAGTGATGTCAGTCAGGGAAGGAATTGATATCACAACAGGTGCATGCTGAGATGTTTTGCTTCTTCGCAAAGTGATTTGGAGACAATAAGAATCACAGAAAATATCAGAACCACGAAGACAGTGGGGAGCTGAACGGGATTGAGTAGTAGCACAATATTCAGATACACGCATAAATCCATAAAACGCCATCATCGTGGCAGCTTGCAACATGATGCGATCGAACATGCAATACGGAAGTGACTGTATATAGCGAAACAAATAACGCAGATTTGTCACTGTCAGTCCAGCACGCTTAACGCGAGGTGACCCACGGATTCTGGACCATCCAGAAAAAGTAGCGCCAGGCGGCGTTTATCCGGAACAGGGTCCGGATAGCCGCTTAAAGTGCTATAGGTTATAATGGCCGAAACATATACTCGCGCAGTGGCTACGGTTAGTTTATCCAAAAAGAGCTGGGCAACAAAATTAAAGATGGTTGCAGAATCCGTGGGCACAAAAGGAAAACCATTACGGTTACAAAAGAATTAAATGTGCGCAGTGCAACCCGATACACTTTCTGACTGGCGGATGATAGATGCGCTTGCAACAAAGTTTGGATAACTGGACGAAATGGCGTATTGTGAGCATTAAGTACACGAGCGTTTTCTGCAATAAAGCACATCGTTAATAACAGTGAACAACTAGATAACATAAGAATGAAAACGATACTTTATCCGGCGATTACGGCACTTGCGAGGAGCGGCAAGAACGTCAAAGAATTCAACCATATTGAACGGAAATTCCTCTCGAAGCCGATTTGCAGACGGTAGAAGTTCGAAAACCGCTCGATATTGCCACGGGACAACGCATCTGCTGTAGCATTGCTCTTCCCCGGTAAATAGACAATACGTAGATGAAAATTATATCGCGCTGCCTCAAAATGTAATGCTCTAATTAATGCCATGACCCCGGGATGCTTGGAAGAGAACTTGCTCCAAACTGCCGCTACAGCTTGGTTGTCACAGAAGAACGTCAACCGCTTGCTGTGCCAGTGTGTGCCCCATAATCTACACGCATAAAGAATTGGCAGCATCTCCAACCAGGTGATATGCGGATGCAGAATCATAAGGTCAGGAGGCCAAGTTAACTGGAACCATCTGTTACCGAAACATCCGCCGCACCCAGTGTGAGACGCATCCGTATACAAGCTAAAATTGTCTGCGTTTGTCCAGTCTGGCTCGATAAAAGAAGCAGTACCGTTCCACAGTGGCAAAAATTTAATCCACCACTCCAAATCAGCTCGAAATTCAGAATTTAAATGAACCGACTGATGTAAGAGGCGGACTGAATTGGCACAATCGATCATCCGTCGTAAGAAAATCCGACCGGCTGGAATGCATTTCGTAGCAAAACTGAGCTTGCCGATTAGACTGAGAAGGTCACGCTTAGAAGCTGACTGTCTGGTGGAGAACACCGTGAACTCATCGATTAAATCTTGAAGTTTTCCGGGTGGGAGCGAGATGGTTTGATCAACGGAGTCCAGGACGACACCGAGAAAGGTCAATTTTGTTGAGGGTCCTTCCGTCTTATCAGGCGCTAACGGAATTCCTAGATCTAAACACAGCAGCGTCATAAGCTCAATAGCTAACTGGCAAAGAATAGAACCGAATGGACCGGCGAAGAAGAAATCATCCATATAGTGCAGAACATCCCGAAAATGACACACGTTTCGAATTATCCATTCCAAAAAACATGCCATTCTATCGAAAATGGCGGGCGAAGAGCGGCAACCAAAAGGTAATACCACATCAAAATAAAACGGTCATCGAAACAATACCCGAGAAGGTGCCAATCTTCCGGCCTGACAGGTATGAGGCGGAAGGCGTGCTTCAAGTCCATTTTGGCCATAATGGCGCCGGCACCTAGCTTGATAATAATACGGATTGCGTCATCGACAGAACAGAATCGCATGGTGTACGTTTTCTTGCAAATATAGTCATTTACGGAGCTACCGAAAGGCCGGGAGAGGTCCATAATCAAGCGTGCTCCTCCAGTTTTCTTCGGTCTGACTCCTAGAGACGAACTGACGAAGAATTTAAAAGGCGGGGATGCGAACGGCCCCAACGTGTGCTTCAGTTCAATCTCTTTGGCAATGTAACGACGCACTATATCTGGATACTGTCGAGCAGTGAGCGCATTGGCAGTAGACCGAACTAAACTTGGACCGGTGTAGCCAATAGAAAACCCATTCAGCAAACCTGCAATAAAGTGATACACAGCGCCACGATTCGGGTACTCACGTAGGTAACGAAGAAATTTGTAGGGCCGAAGAGGAGTGAACGGATTAGTTGGTAGACGAGGTTGAAGATGAGTGGAAAGGTCGGGTATGGGAAGCGTCGAAGCATTCGTCGCAGATGTGCAGACGACGACCGGGGCACGGGTTGAGTATCGTCCCGCGTTGTAGTCCCGGCAGACTGCAACGCGGGGTGGACGAAAGGGCTGATTCACACGTTGTGTAGCGCTCTGGTCACGTGGCTGGGTGATGGGAACGGGAGCGGGACGCTGAGCGGAAGTAGATGCTTCAGACGGGTTACGACGCTGGGGGCACCAGTTCGCGTAGTGATCAGGGCTACGGCACAGATAGCAGCCATATGGTGGTTTCGCTGAAACCGACGGCGGTGGCGATCGGATATCTTTTTGTAAAGGAGGACCCGTGGAGTTCAATGGGATAGTGCGCATGACCTCGGCAATAACAGAAGAATCTTCGATGAACCACGCGTTGTCAGAAATGTCACGGTTACTCATCTTATCACGAAACCTTCGATCATATTCCAGCCAGATTAACAGAGGACGAGATAGTGATAAACCACGGATAATGTCGATGTATGCAAACAGCGCCAGAGCCAGACCGGGATGAAAATAAACGCGGTAACGAGCAAAAAGTAAAAAGGCATCCAGCCATGAGTTAAAGGAGTCGATCTTCCGGCGGTTAGACACAGCAGCAGTGGGAATTAATTTGCCGTCGTTATCAGGCACATACGAGGGCTGATCGGAAACTGATTCGACTCCTCTGTTAATCGGTAGAAGTTTATGCAAATTGACGAAGCCATGCCGATCGGACAGTAACTTTAATGTAGGATTATCAAGTGTGGGTAAACACAAGTTAGACGGTGGTTTAAGTGACATACTAGGCTCCGAAACGGAAAGGTCAATCAGCGGTGGAGTGGTAAGTGAAGGTGGAGAACCAGTGGGGGCGGGCGGTTGGGGTTGCTGGACTGCTAAAGCAGCCAGTTGCGTTTGCAGTTGAGAAACTGTATGCTGAAGGGCAACTAAATCGATGGAATCTGTTGATTGTTGCTCTGACTTCTTAGCAATCCCCCCGTCTGCGTTTTCTGTGTGCAACGGGCGCGTCCGACCGAGGTTTCGGAGCCATTTTTTAGCGAAAATTGGGAAACTAATAGTTAAAACTGGATCGAACACAACTGAGTTCCTTCTAATAATTTGTTCACGTCATTACTGGATGACGTGACTATGTTGCCAGGGACAAACAAACTCGCCCGGCGTTAACGGTATTTAACGCCTTAAGCGTTAAATAGCATTAAGAAAATATTTTAGAAGAAAATGATAATAAAAAAATATAAAACGGATGGTGAATATATAAATGAAAATTCAAAGATAAGCTCAAAGGAAATTAAAAGTAATTTAGTAACATCAAAACGGTCATTTATCAAACGATTTGACAAGCTCGGCCAATTCCACACTGGACGTCCCGCTCTCCGTCATGGCCTCCTTAATCTGCTCCCGGACTTCCTGTGCCCGTTGATGGAACTTCCCCGCCCCTTTCTCCTCGAACTCCCCGACCTCCCGCAGCGCGCCGGCGATCTCGTCGGCCGGAAGTAGGCGTTGCGGTTTGTAGCCGGTGCCTCGGAGGCGGACGCCGACGCCGGCTTCCTCGATGGCCGTCCCAATGAGCAGCTGGTCGGCCAGCATGGGGAAGGAGACGATGGGGACGCCGTGGCTGAGGGCCTCCAGCGTCCCGTTCCAGCCGGAATGGCTGAGGATGACCGCCATCGCCGGGGCGGCCAGCACGCGCTTCTGTGGCACCCACGGCAGGATCAACATGTCCGGGTGCTTAACTACTTCCGGGGGTAGGTGCGCTTCGTTGCCGGCGCGCAGCGACCACAGAACCGGCTTTTTCAGGGACACCAGCGCTTTTCCTAAAAAAAAACGGAAAATACATAAAACAATTAGCCCCCTATATGTTCGCAATAATTCGAAACCTATGCATAACGAAAATGAACGGATTGGTCAATTAATGTAAGCAATAATACAACAATAAAAATCCTTTTAAAAATAAATTTATTGCAAGCATCCATATCTGCACGCAGTGGTAAAAGCATTTAAAAAATAAAAGCACATTCGGAAAATATATTTACAATATTATTATACATGGAATATGAAAAAAATTAATGTATTCAAAATAAATACAAAAATACTCGTATTTCAGTTAATTGCTGTACGCAACTGCAGATACCTTCGTGTTCAAATTACTACCCATAGATCATTATATAAAAAAGGGTTTTTAACGATAAGTAACTACGTAGTATATAAAAATGCAAAATAAAAATAATCATCGATGTACACAATCTGAATAAAAAGGTATGCAACATATATAAAAACGTATATATGTAAATTTATATGTATATGTAGAAGTGTACAATGGAAGTCAAAATTCTCTTACATTCGGTCCGGGACCGAATGACCAATAAAACTAAATGGCCAGGACCACATGACCAGTTAACTGAAAACGCGCAAGAATACGAACACTTGTTCCTGGCGTATTTCCCAACGAAAACCAGCAAGCGATATCTCAAACGAAAGACAAAAAAATTTCAAGAATTTTGATACCAAACGGGTCATCCTTTATGGGATCTAAGAGAAAATCGAGCCATTTTAGTTTGTCGTAGACAAAGCACACGATTTCTGTGTGAAAACTGAAACCAAACCGCGGATGCAAATCCTGTGCTATGTCTACGAGAAACTTTAGATGCCTCGATTATCTCTTAGATCTCATAAAGAACAACTTGTTTGGTATCTAAATTCTTGAAATTTTTTTCTCATTCGTTTGATATATTGGTCAATGGTTTTCGTTGGGAAATGCGCAAGGTGCAAGTGTAAATGTCAGCAGGCCAATGGCCAGTCAAAAATTTAGCTGTTTAAGTACAGAAAAGTGCTTGGTTGCGCGCGTTGTGTGATTACATAAGTGTAAGACAATTTTGGCGTCCACTGTACATAAAAAATACGTACATAACACGTATATAATAATAGGTAATAAAAATGCAATATAATAACACGTATATAATATTTGCGTTAAAGGTTACCGATCTCCGATAACTGCTCGGCAGCCGGCACCATGAAATCGATGGACCCGAACGACACATAAACCACCGACCGCGCCTCCTTCGTCGCCAGCCACTGCTCCGCCTTGGAGTCCGCCTCCGACGTGTCCTCGGGGATGAACGGCCCCAGACAGTACACCGGCACCCGCGCCATATCCGGTCGCTCCCGGTTCATCTTCCCCACCTCCTCCCGTTCCATCGCTCGGAAGGAGTTGCAGATGATCCCGTCGACTTCCGGGAGATGCCGGGAAATCTGCAGGAACATCTCCTTGGCGCCGGCCATCTGCCCGGCCAACGGCTGCCCCGGCGCCGGCGGAAACTCGTGGAAATGCTGGTGCTCTTCCGGACTGACCACCCGGGTGTCCGGGGTGAACAGGAGGAACCAGCGCACCAGACTGATGGGCGACGACTGGAAGAAGTAGTAGCGGACGCCCGGGAGGCGGTGCCGCATCACCGGACCAGTGAGGAACATGTCGAAGATGATGACCTCCGGACGCCGGAGGGTCTCCCCGTTGGATAATTTGATCAAGGAGTCTCCGGAAGCGGCGCCGGCGGAGACTTCCTTCATGAAGTCCTCGACGGCCGGGGTGATGACGTGGTTCATGGTGTGGAAGGCGCCGACCAGGTCGTCGTGCCCGAGGTCCTCGTGGAGACGGTCCTCGATGGGCAGGAGGCGGACGCCCTCGTCGGGGGTGACGGCGCGGAATTCGGCCTGCGCCAGTTGGTCGGCTTTGTGGCGGGACACGGCGAAGGTGATGGAGTGGTGGTGGTGGGCGGCGAGTTTGCGGGATAAGAGGAGGAGGGGCATCAGGTGGCCGTAGGCGGGGCCGTTAACCACCAGGATGTGCTTCCCACCGGGAGGGGCCATCTCCGTTGCGGGTGGCGAGAAAGTATGAAAAAGTCCGTTGCGATACTGTTCAGAACGAAAACCGCTGCATTACTGGCAGGTGGTACTATACTTCAAAGTTTTTCGCATTCCGGACACTTACGTAATAATTATATGGATTCGCGTACCGGCCAACAGGGACACGGTATTATCCGCACATGGAAAAAACTTGTCAGAAAATAACTATGTGACAGCTGTTGTATGCAAGCTTGTGAACGAGATTAATAAAAAATTATCAAGTTTTTCTAATGGGGAACAACGCAGAAAACACCCTGCCTCAGGTGGCCGGTGCGGAAATCCGTATTGTAAAAGTGTCCGAAACCCGAGAAACGTTGAAGTATGCTAAAGAAACGCGATCAAACAACTGCGAATTACATGGACATATGGCAATTGGTTTTTGCCATTGTACTGAGGAAACAAACTCTTGTCTCCGACTTGTTACTCACAGATAGATCACCGGTGTCTAAAGATTCTGGTTCACACTGCGCAACGCAGAATGCAATTGCGTTGGTACCTGTTGCGTATAATCTATGTTTACACGGAGTAAAAATCCGAAGAACCTCGTGCAAGGTAAAGCACAATACGGATGAAGTGCAACACACACACGTTCTAGGACATGAATTATGTTGTTGACGCGCCGTTGATTTGGCTAGACACGTTAATACCCCATGCGTGGCTGCCGTGTTTTATACTGGAGTCGGGCCGGTGCGTGTTTGTTTGTCGGTTGATGGCACAAAGTCGACACTTTATCTCTGATTCTCTACTGGCATGCTTGTTGTGCAATATGGCACCTCTGCACCGGTAATATTAATTAAACGACACCCGGTAACCGGTTATTGTATGTTCACTGAGTGTCAGATGAAAGAGTGGGTCACCTACATCGCGGCTACGAAACACCTACGCAGGCAAGCAACCGGTCGCTGGCGCCGTAACGGTCGCAGTATTGTACGAAATACAGATGCACATGACCTTAAACCTACTGTCTTTATTCAGTATGTTTAACAAACTGCCTCTACCGTTAAGGGATTTGGCCCGGTACATAGCACAAAATTCGTGTACATCCACGGGAACTTTCGCTGTCGCGCTCTCCCAAACACTTTTTTGCATTGTTTTACGATATTTTGTAGCCAAAAGAATTGTGTACGTAGGTGTGAAATCCGTTTGCGCGCGCAACATCCGGTTCGGGAGTTATGGCTCTTAAAAAATTCCAAAAAATTTAAATGAATTCAGGTGTACCAAAAGTCTCATTATGGACCGATCCCTTTCAAATTTTGCACGTAAATGCACATAGCAATGAAGATCGTTCTTACACGGATCCAGACTTCCACGATTTTTTTCGAATTTTAAAATAAATTTTAAAATTTTTGAAATTCATTTTAAAATTTGAAAACATGCTAGGACAGTGGATCGGTGTAAGAACGATCTTCATGGTTATGCGCATTACGTGCAAAATTTGAAGGACATCGGTCCATAATGAGACTTTTGGTACACTGGAATGCATTTAAAGTTTTTAGAATTTTGTTACCCTAATAACTCCGCAACCAAATGTTGCGCGCGCAAACGGATTTCACACCTACGTATACAATTCTTTTGGCTACAAAATATCATAAAACAATGCAAAAAAATGTTTGGGAGAGCGCGACAGCGAAAGTTCCCGTGGATGTACATGAATCTGGTGCTATGTACCGGGCCAAATCCCTTAAACCGCATTAAGGGAAGTGGCCCGGTACATTGTACCAAATTCGTGTACTTGCTCAAATATTTTCACTTTCGCGCACTCCCATACACAATTTCGTTTTGGTTTATGACATTCTGACTTCTGTAGCCAGAGGATTAGAAAACACTGGCGTGAAAACCGTTTGTGCGCGCAACATCCGGTTCGGGAGTTATGGCTGTTAGAAAATTCCAAAAAGTTAAAATTCATTCCGGTGTACGAAAAGTCTCAATATGGACCGATCTCCTTCAGATTTTGCACGAAATGCATATACCCATGAAGATCGTTTTTACACCGATCCAGACTAATTCCATGATTTTTTTTTCAAATTTAAAAGGAATTTTGAAGTTTTTGAAACTTATTTTAAAAATTGAAAAACATGCTAGAACAGTGAACCGGTGTAAAAACGTTCTTCGTGGGTATGTGCATTTACTTGCAAAATCTGAAGGGGATCGGTCCATATTGAGACTTTTGGTACACCGGAATGAATTTTAACTTTTTGGAATTTTCTAACTGCTATAACTCCCGAACCGGATGTTGCGCGCACAAACGGTTTTTACACCAGTGTATACAAATCTTCCGGCTACAGAATGTCATAAATCAAGATAAAAAAGGATGTGGTAGTGCCAGAAAGTGATAGATTTCGGGCTTGTACACGATTTTGGTACCATGTACTGGGCCACTTCCCTTAAACCAACCTTGCTATTGTACTGTACAGTATACGGCTCGCTGAGGCTACTTGTCGTCAGGCTCGTTTATGACCCTTTTACGAGAATTAAACACAGGACACGGTGTTTCATCACTGGGAATGTAATATATTATCATTAGAGATACCGAGTCACTGTTTGTACAATCATCGCCGCACTAGGCGGATAATAAACGAATTTTCTTACTTAATAATTAATAATATTTTAATGGTTTTTAGATTAATAACATTTGACGAGTACTGTATTAACGAAGCAATTTTACGCCAGCAACGAGTACATACAAATGTGGATCTGTAGTTGCCTGCACTGTATTGCAACAGCAGCCGGTTAAGCTGCTGTTCTAGTGGGATGGTTTATCCACCGTACCACGATGTAGCGGCTGTTAAGGCTAACTAATAATCAAAAGGCTGGCACGGTCGGCAAGATGCTGACCGGAAGGAAGATGGCAATTACACAACTACTGTGTGGGAGATGAGACGATTCATCTGGAAGTGTTTACAAACAACAACGCAAGACATGGCAGTTATGGCAAGATTCTTATTAGCAAGTAAACTGGGCAAGAAGGCAAAAAGCAAGGTTAGCTAGCTGGCAAGAAGCAAATCCAAGAATGAATCTAGTGCGCAAAAGTAAAAGTCAAGAGCATCGAGATTGTAGCGGTAAAGCGTTAAGACAGTGAGATGCTGATTCACATGATCTTAATGAGGAAGACAAGGAACGAATGAACCAATAACTGATGTAGAAAAGCAATTAACAATCCCAACTGGCAGTACTACAATTTTCTATCGTTACATCCCGGACGGTAGCGATGAGATATACGTGTCTCATCAAGAAAGTAAAAATGAAAAAATTAGAGAATAACGCTGTTGTTAATACTGTACGGCGTGGTGGATCCTAAGTTTAATCTGCCACGCGAAGGTTAATTTTCAAGCAGACGATCGGGATTCTGCGATCGTTTTCCGGTATGGTGCTCAGTGAGTGCGCCGGTCGGAATCGTGCATACGGTTCATTCGCTGACGGAGCTGGTCCAATTCCTGTCGTAGGTCATAGATTTCCTTATCTTTGTCCCGGACGGTAGGTGAATGATACTGGTTAATTTCTTCGTCGGTATATCCTTCAACGCCAAATGCTGTCATAATTGAAGCACCATCGCGGTTAATATGCTTTCCAACGGCAACTTCGGGTAATTCCACAAACGGCAACGTCTGGTCTCCGTTATCACCAATTGCATAGAACAGGTGGTCATCTTCGAGTAACTGTGCTCTAATCTTTGCGGCACGACTTTCGGCGGTGTAGCTGCCGTCCCATTTGATCTTACCACGGTAAAAGGGAAAGTCGGTGGTGAAGAAGCGGTACGGGTTGAAGTAGCGCGGGTATTGTTCAACTTGCTCGAATCCATGACTTTGTGGGGTTTTAATGTAGCGGTACACGAATCCACATCGGTGCTCGTATCGCCATGTTCCATCGTCTCCGGGATAGCGGATCCACGGTGATAGCGCAAATCTGTCGAAGCGCCAGGACTGGAAATAATGTGGGCTTAAAACACTGCTCATGGGAACAGGAAAAGAGGAGAATTTGTCTTCATCGGCATGGTCAACATTGAGACGAAGGCGCTCCAGGAAGGTGTATGTGTTGCATAACACCTGGTTCTGTGCGATTTTAATGTCACGTTCATACGGATCTGCTGTGCCTTTGATGATGTTCGATCCATTCCCAATGGCTGTATTGATGTTTTCCATATGTGCGCGGTAGTCATGATGCGGAGTTTTAATTTTGAATCCAATGAAAGGATTTCTGCCTTGTCGTCGAACGTGGTGAGCTTCTTGGCGCGGTCCAGGGTTAACGCACTGGATCTGGTCATCTGGGGGATCTTGTGGGCTTTGTTCGCGCTGTCGGCGTTGTCGAGGCATAGCGTTCTGATAATTTCCGCGACTTCCTCTTCGTGATCCACGGCCACGGTAGCCAGTATACTGAAGGCTCTGGCCGGTGTACTGTAGTTCATCTGCATCTTCAGGTGTGTCCAGGAGCGGTGCACGCGTCGTTGCCAACTGGATGTCTGCCGGTTTACGTAGAGCGGCAGCGTAGTCGGGCTGCACGTTAATCTTGTCCGATGGTGCTGCGCTAGTTGTCGGAGCGGGTTGCTGCTGCGGACTGTTGCTGTCGGCTTGCGCTGCGTTAGTTTCCTCCATAGGAATATCCATTTCTGCATTTGCATCTACGATGCGGTTAATTTGGTAAATCTGCAGTGTACAGAGAGCTAGCGCATCCAACGAGTATAATTTATTTGTACACTTTTGACGTAAGCAGATTACTTTGCGCTAGCATGCGCTAGATTACTAAGCGCTAGTTGCATCTAAAATGCGGTTAATGTTAAATCTGCAAGTGTACATAGGGCTAGCGCGTCCAACGAGTATAATGTATTTGAACACTTTTAACGTGAGCAGATTACTTAGCGCTAGCGTTATGAGTGTGCCGGGATCTTAATTTTTGGACGTAGTCGTTTCGACTATTCTGTACATCAGCGTCGTACTGTCTATAAGATTTTAATTTTGAAATGTGTACTGTATCCGTTGATCTTCGCTTTGACGTTGGGTGATCGTATTTAATCTGCACATTGCCGTTCTCTAATATTTGTGTGATAATGTACGTCCCTTTATATTTGTTTGTTAATTTCTCAGTACGACCAACTTCTCGTACTTCATCTTTAATGTAAACCGAATCGCCAACTTTAAAAGAAATATCCACTTTCTTTTGGTCATAATTTTGACTGTTCTTCTCATGAGTAATATCCGTTAGTACTTTCGAAAATTCCAACGCGTGTTGCCATTTTTGTCGCATATCCTCTATGTACTGTTTAATAGTAATTTCGGTAGAGGTTGCTGATGTAAAATTTTTATATACAGTATCAATCGGTAATCTCGATTCAACACCAAAGAGTAGATAATGTGGAGTTTGCTGCGTAGTTGAATGTTTAGTATTATTATACGCATAGGTAATATATGGTAAATAATGTGCC